GGGGGGCTTAATACTCTTTAAATAAAGATAAAGTCATCACTTTGACGCACACTTGCTGTTTCATAACATCAGTAAATTTATGCAATTTATGGTTCAACAAATAGGCAAATCACATTGGATATTCAGTATGAAGACCCTGAAATCTATAAATCATGTGATATAACATATGCAAATCCATCAGAACAACATTAGTGTGTTAATGGAGCATAGTAATACTGTAGTTAGATATTAAGCATGTTACCCACACACACACACACACACACACACACACACACACACACACACACACACACACACACACACACACACACACACACACACACACACACACACACACACACACACACACACACAATCTGATGATGTGCCAAAAGTGCTAAATTGATAATGTATATGTAATATACATTATTAAATTGTTATGGTAATTACATTATATTACAGGCAGACAGTGGGGAGTACCAAGATGGCGGCAGGTGCCTTCAGTTGTTTTCGGGTCTATCAGCAATCCAGTAAATAACTAGAGATCAGTGGTATACATACAGCTCCCTTGGCTGTTTGATGCTTTGAGGTGAATGTGTGACAACAGGGGACATGGTCTATCCAGGCTCTGGGTCTTCTCTAGGGTATCTATGCTGGTGAAGATTCTCAGTTTTCCAGGTCATCCAGGAATTTCTATGGTCTATATTGCTGTTTTTTAGTCAGTTTTATCTTTACTACAACAGATTACAGCAGCATATTCAATATGAACCAATTCTTAAACAGTCATTGAACATACATGAAAATATTTTATTAGAAACAGGGAGGAGCAGATCGTTCTGTAAACTGGTTCTAAGTGGTGAGAGGCACCATTAGGCTTGATGAGGCTCTCCATTCAGGGATCACAACAACTGCCTGGATTTTTTGCCTGTGTTTGGAATACAAAAGCACAAGATGGAACTGCCTTAAATCACATTTCATTTGCACCTTTTCAGTTCGAACTGTGAATATGTTCAAATGTGTCATAAATAAATAAATTAATTTTTTTGTTTGAAAAATCACAATCAGAATGTTATCACCATTCCCATCGAACAAATTAGTCAAATCTTATTCTTATACGAAATGGGTCTGATAATGTATATGTTGACTTGTGTGGTGTAATAGATAAGATTTGAAAAAAAAAAAGATATGTACAAACACTGAAAAATTACTTAATCAGAAATTGACCATTTTTCCAATAAATAGGCCTATATTATAAAAAAAACTTAAGAGTTCCTATTGGCTTTTCAGTTCAGACCATGAAACGTGCATTTTTTTCTCTCAAAAACGTCAGTGTACATTGGAATTTTAAAGAAAAAAAGTAGTAAATTATTGCCAAGTGAAAGGAAAAAATGCAACTCAACTTTTTTTTCTTTCACACAAACATATGACAGGCACAGTTTTGTCTTTACTAGAATATGGTATGAAGCCAAATTAGTCAAGATTAATGAAGAAAGTTAAAAAAAATCACCTCAGAACAGACATGTTTTAGTCAGATTCAGGATATCAAATGAAGCCTTGAGTTCAACTAGATCATTCTAACACATCAATATGCTTTGATCTAAACTATTCCAAGTTTTGGGGTCTTGTTAAAAGATTAATTCCTATCAAAGTTAAATTTTCATCAACCGGGTTTTCTTCCAAGAGGACCATTTATTGATCCTCATCCATATTCAAGTGTAACACGTTTCTCTGTCTTCGGACATGAAAGCTATTCCCACACCATGAAAGCACCACCGGCCTGTTAAACACTGGGCTTGTTTTTTTTAAGGGTGATATGCAGTGTTAGTTTTCTGCCACATTTAGTGTTTGCATTGAAGCCAACTTTTTAAACTGCAGAGCACCTTGTGGGTTTTTGTCTACTTCCTGCAATTCTTCTGTTTTTGTTTTTTTGCTGCTCCTCCAGGAATGCCAGCTTTGTGTGTTCAGTGGTACAGTATTGCAATCTTCAATATGAACCAATTCTTAAACAGTCATTGAACATACATGAAAATATTTTATTGGAAACAGGGAGGAGCAGATCGTTCTGTAAACTAGTTCTAAGTGGTGAGAGGCACCATTAGGCTTGATGAGGCTCTCCATTCAGGGATCACAACAACTGCCTGGATTTTTTTGCCTGTGTTTGGAATACAAAAGCACAAGATGGAACTGCCTTAAATCACATTTCATTTGCACCTTTTCAGTTCGAACTGTGAATATGTTCAAATGTGTCATAAATATATAAATTCATTTTTTTGTTTGAAAAATCACAATCAGAATGTTATCACCATTCCCATCGAAAAAATAAGTCAGCAAAAAAAGCCATCAAATGGACCTGTAAATCAGAAAACGTTTTCTCGACAGATTTTCATTGGTTTTTCTAAGAGTGCCCACTTAAATCAGGTCCAACCTAAATTTATTACATTAGATCTACATTGCACTCAGTCTGTGATGGTTTATCTAGACTCCAAAACTTCATTTCAATTTAGAATATATAAATCGTGGACGACTCTTTTTATAGGTATACTCTGACTGAATAACAGTTTGCAAAGGTAAAATAAAAGAAGGGAAAATAAAACATATGGTTCTTTGCAAAATTATTAAACATCATCAAACAGAATCTACCTTATAGGTGGTAGTCAGCAGCCTCCCTAACAGTTCTGTCATAGTAGTTATAACGGTTTTGTTGTTGTTGTTGCAGAGAGCAATAATCCTAAACCCAGCCCCCTTATAGAGGGTACCCAGAGCCCAATAACAACAGCCTGCTGGTCTGAAGTGGATTTTCTTAAATTAGATCTGTTTACTGCTGCTAAGAACGGGCTGTTTATTTATTACTGCTTTGAAAACATAGTATGTCAACATATGTATTAGTCTAACAGGGAGATGTCCAGGGAATTTATATCAAGCAAAGGTCAGATCTGACATTCCCCTACAAGTGGTGACACAACAACCAACAGCTTTAAGCTAAAGAGATATATTCTAGTTTTACTGCTTCATGGATGCTGGGCATATACTATATTCGAAGAGATTTGCAATATAATCACAATTTAGCAAAATGCTTTTTTCAAATCACCAAGGCATTAAATTTAAGTCATATCATATATATATATATATATATATATATATATATGCATGTGTGTGTGTGAATGTGTTTTTTTTATTCACTGCTAGAGACCTGAACAAAAACACTTAATAAATCTTAGATTACAGCCATTAAAAAGAATGCTTCATTGATGCAGAAGAAAGCCTTGGCTGTCCTACCATTAAATACGTGGAGTTTGCTGAATCTTGTTGGGAAAGATCAGGTGGACTCAAACAAAACTCAAATTAGAATTTGCATGCACACTGTTAGGTATAGTGGAGGACTGTGATGCTCTGGGCCTGTTTGTCTTCTAAAGTAAATAGATACGTTTTATTTGGAGTGTATGGACTCAGAACTGTAGGATTTCAGGAGATTTGAAGTAAAATTAGCTCTCTGGTTTTGACTAAAAGAATTTGTGTTGCACCTTTAGCAAAAGGGAGATAAAATATAAAAGGTATACGAAGGTACAGGTAAAAATATGTATATGTATCTAAACTCATACAGTATTATGAGCTTCCTTTTTAGATGCATCATTGTAAGATCAAACTGCTGCCAGAAAAAAAGGTTTTATCAGTGTAACGAAACGGGCCTGATAATGTATATGTTGACTTGTGTGGTGTGTTAGATAAGATTTATTAAAAATAAATATATGTACAAACACTGAAAAAATTACTTAATCAGAAATTGACAATTTTTCAATAAATAGGCCTATATTATAACAAAAAAAAAACTTACAGGATAAAAAATCTGGAATGTACATGATAAATTCCTATTGGCTTTTCAGTTCAGACCATGAAGCATGCATTTTTTTTCTCTCAAAAACTTCAGTGTACACTGGAATTTTAGAAAAAAAAAGTAGTAAATTATTGCCAAGTGAAAGGAAAAAATGCAACTCGACTTATTTTCTTTCAAACAAACATGTGACAGGCACAGTTTTGTCTTTACTAGAATATGGCATGAAGCCAAAATAGTCAAAATTAATCATGTCAGTTGAAAATCACCTAAGAACAGACATGTTTTAGTCAGATTCAGGATATCAAATGAAGCCTTGAGTTCAACTAGATCATTCTAACACATCAATATGCTTTGATCTAAACTATTCCAAGGTTTGGGGTCTTGTTAAAAGATTAATTCCTATCAAAGTTAATTCTTCATCAACCAGATTTTCTTCCAAGAGGACCATTTATTGATCCTCATCCATATTTAAGTGTAACACATTTCTCTGTCTTCAGACAAGAAAACTATTCCCACACCATGAAAGCACCACCAGCCTGTTAAACACTGGGCTTGTTTTTTTTTTAAAGGGTGATATGCAGTGTTAGTTTTCTGCCATATTTAGTGTTTGCATTGAAGCCAACTTTTTAAACTGCAGAGCACCTTGTGGGTTTTTGTCTACTTCCTGCAATTCTTCTGTTTTTGTTTTTTTGCTGCTCTTCCAGGAATGCCAGCTTTCTGTGTTCAGTGGTACAGTATTGCATCTTTCTTGATGCTCATTGTTCTCTAATGTTTCCTAACATTTAACAAATAAGGACTCCGTTTACTCTTTGGGAAATATTTGAGGGTATTTGCTTGAACTTAACAGAGTAAGAACCAAAAACAAGTTTTACATCTTAATGTTTCACTCCCACCTAACAAATAATACACTACTTTGTTCATCATAGAATAAAATACACAAAAATAAATGTGGTTTTAATTTACGACCCTTGAAGGGTATGAGCATATAGCTTTTCCTCATCCTGGTAAATAAAATGGAAGTGGGATACATAAGTTGCCCTTTTATAGATCTTGTATTCCTGCTTAAACTAGTTAAAATTTAAATATTACTGAAAACATAAGAGGATATGGACAAAAACAGGCACCACTGTCAGATTTAGTTGTTGGATCAAAAGTTGGATGGATCAGATAGAGACAGCTCCTTCCCTACCTTACTAAAGACGAGTTTCCACTGTCACGGTGTAATCAGGCATGCAGAGGGATTACGCTTTGGATCCTGGGGGAAAAGTCAAAAGCCATCTTTCCAGCGAAGCCTACTTCCAGCGAGATGATGCCGCGCCGGGGAGAATTAAGATGACACCGCATGCGCTCCCATGCAGCCTTTAGACACAGCAGCAGTCCTCACCAGCATCCAAGCTCCTTAAGGCAGATCACGCTCGGTGTCTTGATTTTGTTTAACCAAATTGGGACTTTAGTACATGGCAAATTCCGTTTTAGTTCAGTATATTGAACGCGGAACACGTTTTACGCCTGGAGGAGAGCACGGTACGCGCGCAAAGGATGATGAGTATCTTTGAGGGCGGAGAAACGCGTTAATTAAAGGAAATAATTTTCTTCCTCACTCTGGTTATTTAAAGGCGTAAAACCTTACGTTGCAATACGTTTTATATATGTATATTTTTTTTTATTGCTGGCAACCATAACAAGATAAGCGAGGATGATTACTGTTTTCCAATGCGTAAAAGTCGTTTTGTGAAGCTCTTGGGGCCAAAACTTGATCCCCCCTTTTTAACATAAAAAAGATAAAAGTTTCCAGCTTCAGAGTTTCTGTTTTAATTAATCAGTGTCCAAATAAAATCATTTTTAAATCCAAAGACTCGAGTAGAGATGCAGCTCCATCCAGTTCTGAAAGCGCTTTACAGTCGCGGGATTCTGTGAGCAAGAAAGACACACAGAGAGGAGAGATAGATGAGTTAACTGCATGTACGCCCATGGGTGGTGTTTCATTTATATTTAAGAAGGATACAAAAAGGGGGAAATGCTTGCAGAAAATAGATAATAACACCAAAGAGGTGGAGAGAAACCCAAAAGAAGATGAATTTAAAAACTCTCTAGTTCTTTTTAGTCTATTTGGCGCAATTTGTCTATCTATCCATGTTTTTTTTTTTTTTAGCAGTGGTCTTTGTTCAACTTTTCTGCACCCTGCCCCCCTTTTTCCCTTTCCCAAACTTATGGACTCACACACACGTACTCACATCAGGGCAGCTAAAAGTGCTGCAGATGTTGGCATTCTTGTCATTTCCTGTGTTTACATGGTGGAAGCTATTCAGAAGAAAAAACAACAGCTTGTAGTAGAGGTGAGGGAATGGTAAGAAAGATGCATTATTTCAACAATAAACTGTTAAAGAATGTGAGCCAGTAACAACCTATTATTTGTTTAAATGGCTTGGATTCCAATTTGGAAAGAAAGAGCCAAAAAGGCTGCAGAGCAGCATGCACAGACCAACAGTGGAGACACATTTGCTCACAACAGCTGAGGTGTTACAGCTGCTCTATAAATGTCTTCTTTGACCTTAAATGTGACCATGACCTTCACGCCTTAACACCCACTAGAACATCCCCCACCTCACTCTATAAAATCCTAAAAAATTATGTTCTAAGCAAAGCAGCTTAGGCAAAAATCAGTAAAAAGTGGAGACCCGTGTTAAAGCGAATGGTCATATTGTGCCTATATTTACATTCCATGAAGGAATGAAAAGGAAAACAGACTGAGGCGGCGGAGGGAGCAGAACACATGGAAGACATGGACTGAGTGTGGGAAAAAAAAAGGCAAAGTGGGGGAAGAAAGAAAAAACAAAACAATACCTTGTATTGTTAGTTTTTTTACATCTGCTGTTTACAAGCCTTTGTGGAGTTGGGAGATCTGCAAAAGCTTGTGTTGCACTTATTGTGAGCAGCTGTGGTTGGGAGTCCTTAGCAAAAAAGAAAAAGAGTAACTTAATGGAGGGGCAATGGGAAGAGAGACCATGAGAAAAAATAGGGAAAAGAGTGTTGTTCTAAATAATTAGTCCTTTTGAGCGAAAACTGTAAGACAATTAGAGAGAAATCCATGAGGGCAGTATTGATTAATTCAATTCAATCTCACTCTGTTGGTGTGGCACCCGATACTTTAATCAAACAGCTCTGCCCCTTAAACATCCCCTATTGACATAAAGATAAGCGAGTCTTAATGTTCTCCAGAGCTTCACTTATTTTTCAGGCCTTATTTTTCGACTCCAATCCAGAGTAAAGTTGATCCTTTGTCAGTAGATTGAAAACAGATTGTTTTAACTCTGTCCTTCTGTAAACACCCTCTCTCACTGAGACTTATGTCTAACTGCCTGTTTTTTATAATACGGTCCTCCAGATTTACATTATGAGATATTTTTATGATATATGGATGAATCAGGCAACCATAAAGATATAAGACTTTATCAATTGTTTTGGCATTCTCTATATAATATAGGCATCCCAACTAGCTTTTAGTGGCTGAAAAATTAAAGGATTTATTTATTAGAAAACTCCAGTTTGCTTCATTCGACTCGTATGATTGCAGATATGTAAAATCCTTTAGAGAGCTTGCAGGTGTGGAAAGTTTCCAAAAGGTTTCTACTTTTTTTTTTTTTTTTTCAACACAATCAGCTGATTTTAATTTTAAGTCTTGATGCTGGTACCTGTATGTAACTTACAGACTGCCTCTATTTCCGTTGGTTTTAGTGCTTGAGGTTTTCATGTTTCCACCACTTTTAATAAAATATATTCATATAAAGGTAAAATTAGATAATTCATGTCTATGATTCTTATACAGCGGAATCAAACAAATATCTGTACGTGTCATTTCTTGTCAGCTGCTGTTCACACAGTGTGTACACACAGAGGGATGCTCGACTATGACGCCTACCTTAATCCTCATGGAACCCCCTTTGCTTTTCCTCTGCTCTCCGTCACCATGGATACAATGATGCAGGTTACCGTGGCAGCCAAGTCAACCCCAAACCCACACAAAGGAACACGTGCTTTTTTTACGCATGTATGATGTGACGTCAAACTGTTAATTTTCTTAAGCTATTTCTAGAAGAGATGGGAGAGAAGAAAATAGATATATTTATATTTATCATGTTCCCAGTATATATTTGTTTATGTCTGTGAATAAGCAACAATTTCAATCCTATTATAATATTTGAAAATTATATGTGTGAACATTTGAATATATCCTCATGTGATCAGAATCCCATTTAGTGGAGTCAGAACTGTGCATAGTTGCCTCTAGAAATCCCTTGTTCTTGTGGTGGATTAAGTTCTCTAAAGGTTTGCAGGCTGTCCTGCCCCCTAGTGTTCATACTGTAGACTGCTTGGAAATTGTGTCTGATACATTTAAGTAAGATGCAAGACCTTGGCTTGAAAATGTTATGATAAATCAAAACAAAGCCAGATAACCAGTTAAACCAGTTAACCAGTTAAACAAGGATATGATATGTTAAAAACATGTCTAGCTGTTATATGTGCTATGTTTCATAGTTTTGTTTATTTAAACTATTTGAAATTTGCAGCTCCAGGTGAGGATCAAACATAGTTAGTGTCTAATTGCATACACTGACTAAACAGTCTTAATGCCAACTATCTAATTGTTGGTTATGAGTATTTGTGCACACCTGCATTATGTGGCTTATCCCATATAGGATTTACTCCAACCTCTTAGCAGTAATCTCACTTCATCCAATCCAGCCCTCCTTGCTTCCCTACAACATGCTCTCAAAGACTCACAAGTACACATGTAGGCTACTTTCTCTCATTTTGACCGTCAACCATTCATGTTGTTGGACTATTGCTGTCGTTGCTGTGGAGTCACACTCATAAAACGCCATGGACCCTTCTCCCTCAAGACTACTCCCAGTGATACCTGGGTAAGAAGACCAGAACATCATGTTAAATAGAATAGAGAGCTATTTAAAACAATGAAGGAAAATACTGTGATGTATTGCAAAGTCATCAAAGTATTAACTGTGGGAGAGTTTTCCTAAATACGTTATTGATTATTATTTTACATTCAATGTTGGTATGAGATAGAAAAAAACATTTGTAATATATTAATAAAATTGTAAAATATTACTCCTTTGGTTCTATTCTAACTCATCACTTGATGTTTTATTTAGTTCATTCCAATATGCTGCCTTTATTTAGAAAAGTTAATCATTCTAGACATACAGAAGGCTAGTGTATGGCATCATGTCTTTCAAACACCAATCAATTATAGACAATTTTAGTGATGGTCTTTTACTGTAACATAACATAATGTTTAAACTTCAGATGAGAATGCTGGTTTCTGGGTCAGCTTTTTTAAGAAAAGCGACAAAGTCTCTTATTGAGATGGTAAACAAACATTACAAAGGGTTAACTAAAGGTGTTTAGCTGTCTGAAGGTATTAGGATAGGCCCTGCTGCTTTCGTTTTACAAGCACTCATACTTTTCTAGCTGTTTAAACAGAGGCCCTTAGGAACGGCATTAATTTTTGTCCTGTATGGTTTAGTCATCTAAATGAATTATACATATTTGAAATCTTGTGCTTTCTTAAGATCTAATAATATTAGGAAAGCAAGATCCTTGAGCTAAAATTGCCTGTCTGCTATTTTCACCATATCAAGCATCATACTGATATAATGACATAATGATAATAGAATAGTAGTAGTTAGGTTAATTTGCTATTATGGTGTTTGTAAATTATATGTCTGCTTTCAGCTAGCTGTTATCACCAACACTTATTTAGCATTTCACCTTGCCCTAAATTCAATTCAATTCAGTTTATTTATATAGCGCCAAATTCACAACACATGTCATCTCAAGGCACTTTACAGTTCAACCAGATCATACAGTCAAATTGATACAAAGTTTTCTATCTAAGGAAAACCAGTTGATTGCATTGACTCATTGACTCAAATACAATCCCCCACACTAAGCATGCTTGTAGCGACAGTGGAGAGGAAAAACTCCCTTTTAACAGGAAGAAACCTCCAGCAGAACCAGGCTCAGTGTGAGCGGCCATCTGCCGAGGCCGACTGGGGTTCAAGGAGACAGAAGCAGAGATACAAAAAGCAGCTGTAAAAGGCGGCCCCGTCCAGGAAACACACAGCCAGGCAGACGAGCTCCAAGGCAGCTCCCATGCCAGAGGACGAAGAGAGCACATCCACTCAGTCACGGTCAGAGAAACAGGACCACACTGGAAAACAGGCCGATCTCCAACATCTATTAACAAGGGTGTTGATAGAAGCAGCACAGCTGATGTTTTTTTCCAGGATGACGTCACAGCCAAACAGGAACAGACGAGGCAAAGCTACTCTGAGGAAAAGCAGAGAGAGCAGAAGGTTAGAGATTGAACTAACAGATTCTGCAGAATAGGAGAACAGAGAGAGAATGAAGCAGAATGATGAAATGGGGGTCCCTATGTCCTCCAAAAGTCTAAGCCTATAGCAGCATAACTATAGAGATATCTCAGGATAACCTGAGCCACCCTAACTATAAGCTTTATCAAAAATGAAAGTTTTAAGCCTAGCCTTAAAAGTAGACAGGGTGTCTGCCTCACGGACTAAAACTGGTAGTTGGTTCCACAGGAGAGGAGCCTGATAACTAAAAGATCTGCCTCCCATTCTACTTTTAGAAATTCTAGGAACCACTAGTAAACCTGCAGATTGAGAGCGAAGTGCTCTGTTAGGAACATAAGGAACAATCAGATCTCTGATATAAGATGGAGCTTGGCCATTTAAGGCTTTATATGTGAGAAGGAGGATTTTAAATTCTATTCTTGATTTAACAGGAAGCCAATGAGGAGAAGCCAGGATAGGCGAGATATGATCTCTCTTTTTAATTTTCATTAGAACTCTGGCTGCAGCATTTTGGATCAGCTGAAGGCTTTTAACTACAGTTTGTGGACTTCCTGATAGTAAAGAATTACAATAGTCCAGCCTTGAAGTAACAAATGCATGGACTAGTTTCTCAGCATCACCCCTGGACAGGATATTTCTAATTTTTGCAATGTTCCTCAGATGAAAGAAGGAAATTCTAGAAACCTCTTTGATATGGGATTTAAATGACAGGTCCTGATCAAAAATAACACCAAGATTTTTTACTTTATTATCTGAAATCAGTTTAATCCCATCCAAATGAAGTGACTGGCTAATCAGTTTCTTTTTCAGAGACTCTGGTCCAAAGACTATAACTTCTGTTTTGTCTGCATTCAGAAGCAGAAAATTAAGAGTCATCCAGGTTTTTATGTCTTCAAGACATGCCTGTAATCTATGTAATGGGTTAGCTTCATCTGGATTTATAGACAGATATAGCTGGGTATCATCAGCATAACAGTGGAAATTAATCCCATGCTGTCTAATAATTCTACCAATTGGGAGCATGTATAAAGTAAAGAGAATTGGTCCTAGCACTGATCCCTGTGGTACTCCACAGGTAACCTTTGAGCGTGTTGAAGATCTATCATTAACATGAACAAACTGAATTCGATCAGATAGATAAGATTTAAACCAGTCTAGTGCTGTTCCTTTAATTCCAACAAAATATTCAAGTCTTTCTAAAAGAATATTATGGTCAACTGTATCAAATGCAGCACTAAGATCCAACAGGACGAGCACAGATACAAGTCCATTATCTGAGGCCATGAGAATATCATTAGTGACTTTCACCAGAGCTGTTTCAGTGCTATGATGAGCTCTAAAGCCAGACTGAAACTCTTCAAAAAGTTCATTATGGTGGAAGTGATCGCAAACTTGTTTGGCAACTACTTTCTCAAGAATTTTGGATAAGAAAGGAAGATTGGATATAGGTCTATAATTGACCAAGTCATCTGGGTCAAGAGACGGTTTCTTAAGCAGAGGTTTAATTACAGCAATCTTAAAAGCTTTAGGTACATATCCCTGTAACAGAGATAGATTAATCACATCTAAAATGGAGGAGGAGATCAAAGGGAATACCTCCTTAAATAGAAGGCTTAGATGAAGACAATAATTTTGCTAATTCAGAGAGTTCAACTGGATCAAAGCAGTCTAAACCCGGTTCAGATTCCATGACTACCTCAGGTACAATCGCGGATAGAGGAGTGCTTATGATCTTATTTTTAATAAGATCAATCTTATTTATAAAGAATCCCATAAAATCATTGCTGCTAAGAGCAGGTGGAATGGACGGTTCAACAGAGCTATGGCTCTGGGTGAGTTTGGCAACTGTATTAAAAAGAAATCTAGGATTATTCTTATTCTCCTCTATTAATGAGGAGAAGTATGCTGCTCTTGCTTTACAAAGGGTCCTCTTATACAACAGTAAACCATTTTTCCAGACTAGGAAGGACTCTCGCAGGCCTGTGGAGCGATATTTTCTCTCCAGTTTCCTAGCATTTTGCTTCAAAGTACGCAGCTCTGCATTAAACCAAGGAGCAAGCTTTCTATTTTTAACGGTTTTCATTTTCAAAGGAGCTGCGTTGTCTAAGGCAATACGCAGAGAACTAGCAACCCCCTCAACAAAATCATCAACCTGTGAAGGGGAATAAGCTAAGCTTTTGCACTCTGCAGCACTGCTCAGTGACACAGAGCAGAGAGAAAGTGAAGCAGATTCTTTAAAATTTATAACTGCACTATCTGATAAAGATCTACTAAAATTGAACCTTCTTTTGGGGGAGGAGAACTCTGTTAAAGTAATCCTGAAGGTTATTAGAAAGTGGTCAGAGAGGACAGGGTTGTGAGGAAATACTGTTATTTCTTCACATTCTATGCCGTATGTCAGCACAAGATCCAAAGTATGAAGATGAGAATGCGTGGGACTATTCACATTTTGAACAAAGCCAATAGTGTCTAAGATAGCATTAAAGGCTGCTCTTAAGCTATCGCCTTCAATGTCAGCATGGATGTTAAAATCTCCCACTATGATGACCCTGTCAGTATTTAATACCAAATCAGAAAGGAACTCTGCAAACTCATCTAAAAATTCAGAGTAAGGACCTGGTGGACGATACAAAGTTACAAAAAGAAGAGGTTTTCTTGCCTTGAAATTTGGATCAGGGAAATTAAGGGTTAAATGTTCAAAAGAGTTGTAGGAATTAATTGTTTTGGGAGTAATCAGTAAGTCAGACTCGAAGATTGTTGCTACTCCTCCTCCTCGCCCAGAACTTCTGGGGATGTGAAAATTTAAATAGCTTGAAGGAGTTGCCTCATTTATGCTCACATAATCCTCTTGCTGCAGCCAGGTTTCTGTAAGGCAAAACAAGTCAATGTGATTATCACAAATCAAGTCATTAACTAGTAGACTTTTAGAGGAAAGCGATCTTATGTTAAACAGACCGCATTTAATTGTTTTAACTTTTTCCCCAATTGGAGTTATTTTGATTTTAATTAGATTATCATGATTTACTCCTTTGGGAATCTTTGCTAATTTATTAGATTTTGGTCGTGGGCAAGACACTGTCTGGATGGAGTAAAGAGTGGGTAACAGTAGAGAAGCTGCAGAGATGTGTGTTAAACTACAACTCTGCTTCCTGGTCTGCACCCTGGGTGGTCAGGGTTTTGGAGGACTAATAAATGTGGCCAGATTCCTAGAAAGAAGAGCTGCACCATCCAAAGTGGGATGGATGCCGTCTCTCCGAATCAGACCAGGCTTTCCCCAAAAGGATTGACAATTATTAATGTAGCCCACGTTGTTTTCAGGGCACCACCTAGACAACCAGCGATTGAATGACGACATGCGGCTAAACATGTCATCACTGGTCAGATCAGGGAGGGGACCAGAGAAAATTACGGAGTCCGACATTTTTTTGGCAAACTTACACACCGAAGCAACACTAATTTTAGTGACCTCCGATCGGCGTAACCGGGTGTCATTACCACCAGCGTGAATAACAATCTTACTGTATTTAACCTTATCCTTAGCCAGTAGTTTCAGGTAGGATTTGATGTCGCCCGTTCTGGCCCCCGGCAAACATTTGACTATGGTCCCTGGTGTCTCTAATGCCACGTTTCTGACTATGGAGCTGCCAATCACCAGAGTGGGCTTCTCAGTGGGTGTGTCACTGAGTGGGGAAAACCGGTTAGAAACGTGAACGGGTTGGTGGTGACCAGTGGGCAGAGATCCACGACTACGCTTTCTGCGTACAGTTACCCAATCGCCTGGCTGCTCAGGCACTTTTGGAGGACAGCTACGTGGGGGGCCTACTTCAACAGCCTGAAGCCTGGATTCTAACTCTGACACCCTCGCCTCCAAAGCTACAAAAATACTACACTTATTACACATCCCATTATCACTAAAGGAGGCAGAGGAATAACTGAACATCTGACACAGAGAGCAGGAGAGAGGAGAGGAAGAAGGAAGAGTTGGAAAAGAGTCAAGGGAGGGAGAGAGAGAAGCCATAGCAATGCTAAGCTAGCGCTAGCCTAGGCTAGCTACTTCTTGCTATCAGAAATAAAACCGTGTGAAACTGACAAGTGCTCAGTAGAAAAGTGCAGCAGAAGGTGCTATGTTTTAAAGTAGTCAGTTAGAGTTACTTAGATACAGAGATATCACAGAGAAAATAACTTAACTTCAGATGGAGATCCTCTGAACAGCTGCACACTCAGTTGCACACTCAGTTAATCCAAACAGGAAGTGAACAGGTCCAAACAGGAAGCCCAACAGGACTAAACAACTATTTAATATTATTAAAGGAGTGAAAAGTAAAAGAGGCAAACCCTACTTTCAATGTCTTTGTTAAAGCTACTGAACAACACATATGTGCTAAAAGCTTTTATTTATAGCCCAAATATGCCCAGTGTTTGAAGGGCCTGTTCATGCTTTAACAACTGCAAGTTTTAGTAAAGTTTAAGACTATGAATAAAGTAGTAGTAGTATTTACCTAGTGCATATTGGCAACGCTGTCTTAAACACAATATATTTCTACCAAAGGTGTTAAACGATTCTTAGCTTTAACATGCTAACTGCTGCTAATAAGCAAAACAAGTCATACAATTTTTTTATTTAACCATCTAATGCTCTACATATTTTAATGTCTTAATAGATATTTTAATTTTTGGAAAGGTTTTACTAATTCCATTTATGAATTTATTTAGACACCAAAGTTTTCTATTAAATGATGCAGACCAGTGCATCATTCCTAGCCTAAACTAATTTGTGATCCATCCCTACAACGGATTATGATTAAATTAAAACAAGCAGTATGGAACAAGTTTTTATTTTAAGATATAACAAAACACCTTATACGTAATACAAGACAATAAAAACAAAAAGCAAACAGGTGTTTTTCTGTTTGTGAAGTGCTGTTCTCTCTACAACACAGGAGACATTTGACTTGTCCCAGCAGGAAATCACAAGTGTAACTAATAAGATTACAGATGACCCCCATTCCATTAAGGTGTGCAGTAAGCCAGAGAGTCCTGGCAGTGACCCATCCGAGTGGAATGGAGCTCATTAATGAAATAATTAGTTACACCTGTGTTTGGCCACCTGAAATGTCAGTCATGTGAAAAGGGCTTTTATCTCTGCCCCTGTGGAGTCGTGTAGCTCATTTCCTGTAAGAGCTGCAGGCAGTCATCTATGAAAGCAGGCTTTAGCAGGACATTGACTGTCTGGAGTCAGGAGGATATGTTTTCTAGGTCATTTTGGACAGGAAAAAAAAGGTTAATAAATTTTCTTGTCACGGACTCAGAACAGGGGACCCAAAATTTGGGGAAGACAGACAATGAAATAACTTAGAAAGTGTTTATTCAAAATGCCGGGCTGTGGATCTTCAGTATCAGTGGCTTGGTCATCTAAGGCAGGATCGTCTATGGGAGAGAAACACCGGTTGGTGACCCACGATAATCTGACAGAGGTTGATTATGAATGTGTGAGTCACTAACCTGGTTAAACAGTTCAGTCCGTGCCCAGAGAACAAGGATGACTCCAGCCGGTTGGCTGAAAAGTCAAAGCAGACGCCACCAGAGCGTTCCAGACGCTGAAGCCTAGAAGGCTGCAGAAATGACAAGAGATCAGATCAGAGCAGATGAAGACAGGATAATCCATAGGGCAAAGTCAAAAGGCAGATCCAGGTTCAGTTCACAGAAGAATCCAAATGGAGTCCGAAGACAGGTTAGGCAAACAGATCAGAACAGGGACATGTTAGCTCAAATGTCCAAATACAGACACGGGTCAGGATCAGGCAATCAGAACAGTATTAGACACGCTAGAAAACTTTCACACCAAAGGTTAAGAATAATCTAGCACTGATGGCTGGGACCAAGGAGTTTAAATAGAAGCAGGAGCAGGTAGATCAGTTGAGCAGTGATGAGAAACAGGGCAGAATTAGACAGGTGAATTAAATGAGTAATTAAGCCAGCCAGCAGCGCCAGGGTCATTTTTGGGACGTAAATAAAATATTTGGATTATAGGCATTACATATTCAATATCAGGTTAAACTATTGCTAAAGCTGTTTTTATTTGTCTTTCTTCATTTTCTACTTATTTTAGAAGGGCGTAGTAGTAATGATCTATTGTAAGAAGGGGAATATTCTAAAGTTAAAGTCAAGGAATCTTTTTATTTATTTTACACAACCAGAAAGGTCATTACTGCTCTTTTCAGCTCACAGTCTTTTTTCCTCAGGTTATTCTGCAAAATCTGCTGATGTGCATGGTGTGCTTCTACTCTCTCTACTACATCGTGGTCAGTCTTTGCATTGGACTCTTCGGGTACACTCAGACACACATGGTGATGTTACAATAAAAAGGCATACAAATAAGCAGGCTTAACTAGCGCAAATAAAGCTGTTGTAATTTGCTTGGGCACACTTAATGGTATTGTCATTTCCTTAGAGTTCATGAGATAAACAGCTTATTAACTCCATTTGACTACACAACACAACCATCATGGCAGAACCCCAAATATCTAGGTAAGTTGTTACGAACAGGATACTAGCAAAGTTGAAAAATATTTGAGAAATTGTTATTTCTTCCTATCTTAATATTCATGCAAACAAAAAAAAATCCCAAAATGTTGTAGTTACTTGTAGTTTTCTGTCTTATGTTTCTTCCTTCCAGTCGGGGTCATTTCCACAGAAGTGACGTATGTTCTGGGGGGGTTGGTGTTTGCTTGGATTGTAGAGGAGTGGGTCTGGGATTATGCCATAACTGTCACACTGTTGCACATTGGCATGACTGTAGCAGGTAAACACACACGTGCAAAGTCATGTGGATGAATGGGTCAGAACAACTGATAGGATTGTAGGCCTGATTATATAAGTGAATGCCATTGGTAGAGACAAACATGCAGAAAATATATTATATAGTTACCAGGAAATTACTCTAGAACAGTACAAATTTGATGTATATGATTTTTTTTAATGTTTTTATTTTTTCAGTGATGTCAGATTTTCCCTCAGCTGAACACTGGTGGATCGCTTTGGGTAAGAATTTTACCTTCTTATTAATGTTTTCTTTGCCTCCAAATTCATCCTAGATACCTTTTGGACAGCCTACAAAAAAAAAAAAAAATCTCTCTGTATTTCTGTCTGAGTGAGATATGATCTCCCCCCGATTCACATCCAACACGCCTCCAAATGCTGCTGACCTTTAAGCCTTCCTCTTTGTTGTTTCCCTTCAGCCCTTTATCTACTTTCAACTCTCTGCAGGTTCAGGCCTGGTCATGATGATTTTCGGTGGACAGCTCCTGGCCTACAAACTCTTCAGGAACAACTTTGTCTATCCTGCTGATCTACAGAACTTCTAATAAAAACCATGGAAAGCTTTTAACTGGCTTATTGGGTTATCCCAGGATGGAAGAGTGCCAGTCAACTCGCTTTGTGGTTCACTGTTTGATTCATGTTTGCAATAGTGTGAGGAAGTAAAGCATGTCTTTTAAGAATAAAAAAATTATATGTATCTCATATCAAGGTTTAGGGAGTAGTCTGTTCTAAGCAGTAAAAATCGCTTCTCTTTGTCTGTTGAACAACATTTTCACTAATTAGTAGTGTTATATATTAGGAGTTTATTTTCAAACATATATAAGCACGTTGATTGGTGAGAATTGGGTAGCGTTTTATACATTTAAAGTTCTATTTACTTTTATTTTATATTTCTTATATCATTGCAATTAGGAATGTAACTTATCAGACTTTTCTTTTGTAATAAAATTTTATATCTTCATAAATAAATACATGTAAAATAAAATGACGGTGAGGCACATGCGCTGCAACCAGTCTTAGTATTACATAGTTAAATGTCTTTGTCTTTAAAAATGACTGAATCCAGGAGTATTGCAATGGAAAAAATTTGACGTAATTGCTATTATTAAATAAGGCTGTCACATAAAGAACATATCAGTCCTCCTCATTGTGCATTTCAACCAATGGCCCGTATTTACAATGAGCTTTTTTCAATTCAAAAGACTCCCAAGAGTTTTACACTACTCTTAGTCAATGATCTGTTCATACACTGATGGCGGAAAACTACTCTGTAGCCACAGATGTCGTGGGGCACGCTGACAGAACTGAAGGTGCCATACAAACGGCACCAAACTAGGCCATCCGACCACCAACAGTAGGTAAGGCAGGTGAAGTGTTTTGCCCAAGGTCACAACTCAGAAGCAGAATCAGGCTCAAACCAGCCTGAGGTGCCATCACATGGGGTCTTTGTTGGTGTGAAGTTTCTATTGTTTAATCCTTCGAAATTTTTGCACATTGCTGCACTGCTAATGACGAAAAGCTGCTCTCTCAAGCCGGGCAAACACTGTGCAATATTTTTAATTATTGCACGGAGCTACAGCTCACACTGTACGATGAAACCACAGGGTTTAAAAGTTCACAGCTCACGATGTATGTTCTCACCCTGTGCGACCCGACGCTCTGATGTGATCTACCTGCTCACAGTGTACGTCTGAAATCCACGTCGGACTGAGCTCCGCAGTGAGCTGACACTACTCGGACTGGTCTATCTGGAAGCCAAACAAGTAGAAGAGGAATATGAATCTCGCTAAAGTGAAACATGCTGCCGTTTCAATTTGTGCAATTTTGTGTGCTGAAAGCCCTAAAAAAAAAAAGGCAACAAAGTGTTTGGACAAAGACATTGCTGAGCAAACGTGGCTACTTTGGTTTGTCAATTTTACGGACAGAACTCCATTTCACTCATACCCACGCAATTCTTTTGTGTTTTCTTCTGAGAGGAAGAAGAAGAATCTTTGTTTGCGCATGCTCACTGAGAGATTTTCCCACAACGGCCGACTGAATTTGAACATGTTTGATTTTTCTTCTGACCTCACGATTGCTGATAGTGAGGTTGTCGTGAGTGGCTGATTGCAACCTCGTTACCCACTGCACACTACACGATGTACAATGTATGATCGTGCTGCAAGTCGACCCAATCAAAAAATTCTCACACGACTGGAAAATTGGCCTGAAAAGGGCAAAACATCGTACAATGTATGCCCTGCTTCAGGGAGACTTTCGGGTGTAAGGGGCCGACTAAGATTAGCCTCACTCTATTAGTGTATTTCCTTGTCTTTTCATTATTGCAAAAGTGGCAAAATTAAATAAGCCCCTGTCTTGTATTATATTAACCTAAAAATTTCAGATGATCTTAAACATGTAAAGTTTTAATCCGTTTCAGGCATTTTATAAATATGAAGCTAAAGCGAAAATTCAATCTGGAAGACTCTTTATCATCCTCGCCTGGATCACCTGTGCCTCACTCAAGCTGCAGCCAGTCGAGAACGGACCACACCAACCCCCTCCAAAGCCAATCATTTTACAAGATACTTTTCATCAAGATGAAGTCCCAGCTTACCGGTTTAGTGTATCAGCTGAACTTTGAACAACCTCTGCCTAAAGGTGGGTGATGTGGAGACACCTCTACATAATGTATTTGTTCTGCCCAGCAACACAACCAGGTCAGTCCAATCTGCACAGTGAACTAAATTGTGCAGATTGGACTGACCCGGTTCAGTGGCTGGGCAGAACAAATGCTCGACGTAGAGGTGACTCCACATTTCCCACCTCTGCTCTAGCCCAATCCCAAACCGGCCCCTAAGCACTAAGCCTGAGCACTAACTCTCTGCTTGCTCGTTCCCATGGAGGGTTCGCCACATTAAGTGCCATCTCGAAGCACGTAGTGGATAGGGCAAGTGGACCGTTCAGCCCTTAAATACCGAGTCTGCATCAGTTGCAACCTGGCCGGAATTCGGCAGCAGGTGTAACAGCAGCCTGGTGGCAGAGGAAACACGTTCCTCCAAATGTAAATTCCACTGTTTTGCTGCATCTTCGTCACACTGATAAGCTCGTATATGAAAAGCACTAAAATAATAAAAAAATGGAAGGTCCTCTTTGAAATATATATATATATATATATATATATATATATATATATATATATATATATATATATATGCCATAGCAACGATTGCTTTCATTTTCCATTGGAGGGTAGTAGCCATCCCATTCTCTTTCATTCTGTTTATTCGGATTGTATGAATATAAAATTATTTAATCAGATGGAAAAGTATGAAATCATGTGTAAATTCTGTTATTTTGAAAACACAATTAGACTATTAATCATATTCATGCAGAACAAATACAATTTCCAAATCTAAATAAATATTAAATATGAAAATAAATGAATACATATATAAATGTATAAATAAATAAATACATATATTTTTGTCATGAAAAAGGACAATTCATTTGTAAATTTTTTCTTGTATTTCTCTACTTATGTATTTATTAGTGAATTTTCTCCTTTTTGTTTATTTACAAATTTATTTAACCGATTTAGTTAACCAGTTATGCTGAAGATAATTGAACCACCCTCTTCATCAACATACAGAGACGTAGAAATATAGAAAACAGCGGGAACCAAATATTAGAATTCAAAATAAAAGAATGTAAAGAAATAAAAATATAAATAAATGTATAAAAAAACAAATAGGATATAAAACAGAAAAATAAATACATAAATAGAGAAATAAATAAGAAAATTACCCTTTTTCATGACCAAAACATTTATTACTGGATTTATACAGGTGCTGGTCATAAAATTAGAATATCATGAAAAAGTAGATTGATTTCAGTAATTCCATTTAAAAAGTGAAACTTGTATATTATATTCATACATTACATACAAACTCATATATTTCAGATGTTTATTTTGTTTAATTTTGATGATTACAAATGACAACAAATGAAAATCTCAAATTCATCATATCAGAAAATTAGAATATTGTGAAAAGGTTCAAAATTGATGGCCCCTGGTGCCACACTCTAATCAGCTAATTAACTCAAACCACCTGCAAAAGCCTTTAAATGGTCTTTCAGTCTAGTTCTATAGGCTACACAATCATGGGGAAGACTGCTGACTTGACAGTTGTCCAAAAGACGACCATCGACACCTTGCACAAGGAGGGCAAGACACAAAAGGTCATCGCTAAAGAGGCTGGCTGTTCACAGAGCTCAGTGTCCAAGCACATTAATAGAGAGGCGAAGGGAAGGAAAAGATGTGGTCGAAAAAAGTGTACAAGCAAGAGAGATAACCGCACCCTGGAGAGGATTGTGAAACAAAACCCATTCAAAAATGTGGGGGAGATTCACAAAGAGTGGACTGCAGCTGGAGTGAGTGCTTCAAGAACCACCACACACAGACGTATGAAAGACATGGGTTTCTGCTGTCGCATTCCTTGTGTCAAGCCACTCTTGAACCACAGACAGCGTCAGAAGCGTCTTGCCTGGGCTAAAGAGAAACAGGACTGGACTGCTGGTGAGTGGTCCAAAGTCATGTTCTCTGATGAAAGTAAATTTTGCATTTCCTTTGGAAATCAAGGTCCCAGAGTCTGGAGGAAAAGAAGAGAGGCACTTCATCCACGTTGCTTGAAGTCCAGTGTAAAGTTTCCACAGTCAGTGATGGTTTGGGGTGCCATGTCATCTGCTGGTGTTGGTCCATTGTGTTTTCTGAGGTCCAGGGTCAACGCAGCCACATACCAGGAAGTTTTAGAGCACTTCATGCTTCCTGCAGCTGACCAACTTTTTGGAGATGCAGATTTCATTTTCCAACAGGACTTGGCACCGGCACACAGTGCCAAAGCTACCAGTACCTGGTTGAAGGACCATGGTATCCCTGTTCTTAATTGGCCAGCAAACTCTCCTGACCTTAACCCCATAGAAAATCTATGGGGTATTGTGAAGAAGAAGATGCAATACACCAGACCCAACAATTCAGAAGAGCTAAAAGCCACTATTAGAGCAACCTGGGCTATCATAACACCTGAGCAGTGCCACAGACTGATCGACTCCATGCCACGCCGCATTGCTGCAGTAATACAGGCCAAAGGAGGCCCAACTAAATACTGAGTGCTGTACATGCTCATACTTTTCATGTTCATACTTTTCAGTTGGCCAACATTTCTATAAATCCTTTGTTTTTATTGGTCTTCAGTAATATTCTAATTTTCTGATATGATGAATTTGAGATTTTCATTTGTTGTCATTTGTAATCATCAAAATTAAACAAAATAAACATCTGAAATATATGAGTTTGTATGTAATGTATGAATATAATATACAAGTTTCACTTTTTAAATGGAATTACTGAAATCAATCTACTTTTTCATGATATTCTAATTTTATGACCAGCACCTGTACATTCATATGTGTATTACTTTGATCTATTTATTAAGTTATCTGTGTATTTATTTATTTACATCTTTATTTCTTTCTGTATTTCTTTTTGATTTTTTTTCCAAGATTTATTGCATTCTTTCTTTCTTTTTTTTTTTCTTTTTTTTTTTTTTACATATTCTGATTTTAAAGCCATTGAAATAAGAAATTGAATCATCTGTTTTGAAACATATGAACTTTTTAGCATCAATATTAATTGTTTTATGTATATATTTTTTAAACAAGTAAAAAGTATTGAAAAAGTATATATCCTGCATCTCATTAAGGTGGTTGATCATTAAACAGGAAGAAGAACCAGTATTAATGTCTTTGGTAGGAACCTAGAGATATTAAACAAATTACCTCAACTTGAACGTGTAAAAATAGCTACCAAAAATATAACATTCTTCTCTATATCTTGTGTAATATTATTTTACATTCTCCGGTTAAGTCCGAAGGTGTTTGTTTTTTTGTTACAGCAGCCAAATGTCAAGAAACGGGCTAATAACAGGCATGGGGATGCGGCTAACGACGACTAGCACACTGGTAGGTCAACAAGTTGGGCTAATTAGCTCCCCGTGACATCAAATGTGGCCTTTATGTTAGAGAAATGTCTCCTACCAATACAATGCAACTTATTTATCTTACTTTATGTTAACATTACTCGGTTATGCTCTCTGTGAGCAACTCTACTTTGTCCGATTCTTCTTTAGTAACTGCAAATATGGCGCCGGTTGTCGCTAAAGTTAGCATTAATGCTAAAATCAAACCTTCAAAGCAAATTCTGACAAATTAAGCTTCGCTTTAAATGAGGAGCTTACATATTTTTAATGGATTGCTGGAAAAACTCGTAATATTAATGTTTTATGCACCAAAGAAATTATGTTAAACGATAAAGCTTTGTATTTTTCTACCTTCTTATTTCAATATTGTTCCTAGTATCTGTTGAGGATTTTCCTTTCTATTTTAGCATTTTCTCAAGCTGGGGATGGAAAAAAACTACTCAGATAGTAATGAAATAGAGATTAGTAATATTTGCTAATGGCAGATCGAGTTGATCATTACTTAAGGGTTTTATTACTTTAGGTCAAGTCCAGAAAGCATCAGTTTTTCATTTAGTTAGAATCAAGTAAGTGTAAACTGTTTATTAAAAGTAAATAAGAATAAGATAAATATGAGCTTGAAATGATAAAGCAAGCATCATTCCCTTTTTATGTGTAAATATTCCCCATCACTGGTGTAGGACCAGTATGAAACCCTACCCTAGTCTTCTACAAAGTCAACAAGACTGCAATTTTATTATTTAGAGTGTCTGTTAGCTTTATTTTGAAAGTCCAAATGAATCTGGATTGTGTTTTAGACATCTTATCTGTCCCTTTCTATTTCGTAGAGTCCTTTTGAGCAGCTTGGTCTACACATGTATGACATCTTGGGAGATGGAGGGATCCTGAAGGAGGTGGTCCGGTCTGGAGAGGGTCCACCTGTGCCCCTAAATGCATCAGTTATAAGTATCTACAGGAGGAAAAATTAAAGTCTTATGGGATTTGTTCCTTATTTATTAGCTGGTGTTTATCATATTGTATTGCCTTTCAGTGTATTACTCCGGATATTTGGAGTATTCTAGTCACCCTTTTGAAAGCACCGCTCACCTGAAGTATCCGCCGATGATGAAGTTGGGAAGGGGTATGAGTTTAGCTTATTAAAGGAATATATAGTTTTATTTCCTAGCATGCACGTTTTCTTACAAACCTTAGTTTCCAGATGTGACGCTGGCCGGACTGGAACTGGGGTTGTTGACCATGAAGAAAGGAGAGTTCTCCCGGTTCCTGTTCGACCCTCAGTACGCGTATGGAGAAATGGGCTGTCCTCCTCTCATCCCAGCTGCCGCTACAGTTCTGTATGAGGTTCAAATTGTGGACTACCTCGATTCGGGTCAAGTGGATGAGTTTATTAGCATGAGTCCGGTGGGATTTCATTACAACATTCTATGCATGACGCATTTTTTTTCTCATTTAAATTCAAGTTATCTGTACAGTTTTTAAAAGTAAAAGATTTTGTCTACTCTTATTTTTCAAGATTTAGATTATAAACCTGATTTTGTAGTAGTCCTCATAGAAATTCCCCAAAAATAAATGGCAGTATTTGTTTTGGGATTAAAGATGTGCAGAAAAATTAATCCCTTTTTATTTTTAACATGTTTAAACTATTATTCTACATCTTTCTGCTTTTGTCCTCAGGAGGAGCAGAACAGTGTCCCTCTGGCCACTCTTTTTGAAGTCATTAACACACTCCGCAGCTTTGGGAACCGCTGCTTCAACCAAAGCCGATATGGCCACGCCAAGGATCGCTATAAACAGGTGCTGTAAAGACTCCCTTATTTCAGTCAGTGCCCCATAATTAGGTAAAATGCCTGGCTTATTAGTGCCCTCCCTTTCCAACAGGCAGTAACTCTTCTGAGAAATAAGAACGAGCAAAGTGAGCTGGAAACGGAGAAGATGAACGTGGCCCTGCTTCCACTCTATCTGAACCTTTCTTTCACAGAACTTCGTCTGGAGAGTCCCCAAAAAGCCCTCAAATATGGAAAGAAGGCCTTGGAAATAGACTCTGCCAACACAAAGGCTCTCTTCCGATGCGGACAGGTCAGACTGCAGCTCAGCTTGAAAAGAAACTGCTCATATTCACTGGAATATGGGAGATAAATCTGTTGTATAGAGCCATGCTTCAAGAAGATTTAGTCTTAACTTTAGAGCATATCCATGTGAGCGTTTAGTTATTAACTGCTTGTTTGGTTTTGATTGCTGTCTTATAGGCCTACTATGAGCTGGGTGAGTACGAGAGCGCTCAGGATTGCCTCATGGCTGCTCAGTCCAAAAAGCCGTTAGACAGCAACATCAACAACCTTCTGAAGAAAGTAGCGTTGTAAGCTGCTATCCTTTTAGAGCTCCCATTGCTTTCAGTAATTTTGTCTGGTTAGTTCATCTGATAGCCTAAAACTAAAACCTTACAGGACATCTTTGTCTTTTTTTTTTTTTTCTTTTATTCAGGGCCTTTAAAGACAGCTTGGATAAAGAAAAAGACATGTGCTTGAAGATGTTTAGTAAGCTAAGGAGCCCAGTACAGACTTAACCAACCTCTGATTGTGGTGAGGAATCCTGTTTGTCTTTCCGCTTTGAAAGGTGAAAACTGAAATAATGTTTACACATGTCCCTTTGGAAAGCATCCGTAACCCCCTGAACATTGTTACAATTTGTCACTCCGATATGCAGAGAAGTCGGTTACAAAATGGTACTTCTCACAATTCGTAGACATGGCTGTTGAGAGAAACTGAGGGGCAGCTTGCTTCAATGCAGACCCACGGCTTAGTTAGGAGAATCTTTTGACACAAAAAACTATTTGTCCCATTCCACAGATATAGACTTTATTAAAGAAAAGAAAAAAGAGAGAGAGAGATTAGATATTTTGCCTACATGCAAAATAGAGAACATGTCGAAGAGATGGACACATGCAACAATCCACCAGATTTAACACTGGATCTAAGATTTCTAATGTCAATCACAGAAATACATCTGCACAACAAATTCCATACCCGCACATTATTCGCTACTAAATACTCTTTTGTTTCTATCATAAAAGACAGGGGTGTATAACAGCATTTTTATATCGTGACTGAGCACGCTGCAAAATGTTGGTATCTAAATACAAGAAAAAAGAAAAACCCCAAATTAGAGGATATTGGACGGTATTTATCAAACTATAAGTCACGGTTTTTTTCATAGTTTGGCCAGGGGTGCAACTTATACGGACTTATGCAGCGACTTATATCTGAAAATATTAACGCATTATTGTATCATTTTGCGTGTTATTTTCACACTAAACGGCAAGAGGGCGCTCTAGGCCTGTATTCATAATTTCAACATTGACATTAGGCGCTTAATAAAAATGGCACAGAAAAGAAAATCACATTCTGCAGATTAAAAGCTGCAAGTAGAAAAATATGAAGCAGAAAGCGGCAATCGAGTAGCAGAAAGAAAGTTCGGAGTTAGAGGAGTTGTTTTAAAGTGACACAGAGGATGAAGATTTGATTGGATTTAGTAATTTGTAGTGACATGAAATGTTTGATAAACGTCTTGGCATGTTATTTATTCTATAGTTATCAGAATAACTCTTAATATTTTATGTGAACATACCAGGCACGTCCCAGTTCGTTGTTTATGTGTCATGTAAGGTTAGCATACCGTACATTATTCAGCCTGTTGTTGTCTCTCTTCTATTTCTATTTTAAATTACCTTTCAAGATGACATGTCTGTTCTTGGTGTTGGATTTTATCCAATAAATGTCCCCCAAAAATCAACTTATACTCCAGTGCGACTTATATATGTCTTTTCCTTCTTTATTATGCATTTTATGGCTGCTACAACTTATACCCGCGAGCGACTTATAATCCAGAAAATACGGTACTCAAAGTAAGTGAAGTTATCTGTTTATGCGGCAGATAACTTTACACAAAATGATTTCTTAAATAAAGATGATAGTGTCAGAGACTTGATATAACTCTTAAAACAAGATAGATTACCTTGTTTTTCTGAATCTAGTTATTTTTTATCTTTCTTAAAACCAAATAAGTTGCAGTGTGCTTGAAAGGGGTCAGACTTACCATCCTGACATAGATCCGATGTCCTTCCTGCTGTGTATTTACATTTCCCAGCTCCGTCTGATCTGTTAACAGCATCATTTTACCTATAAAACTCCAGTTTACCCTAAAACTTAAATTATTATAGATATAAACATACAAAGATTTATACATATACCTTTTTTCCATTTGTATCTAAGTGGTCGCCAGCAAACATGGTAGTCTTGTTTTAGTTGTCATTTTTTTTTATGGTTTTTGCTTAATTTTCTATGTAAAATTGTGGTTATAGGTAAATGTATTGTTTTTTTCTTCCTAACTTTATCTAATATATTTATGTACATTTCTAGTTGACCTATTAAATCATAAAATCTATATAAATTATATTTGGTTTTCAATGGGATTAAAAGTGTCAATATATTTACAAACTACCGAATGAGAAAAGTTGGGGTTCTGAACATTTGTTGTTGCTGGACAAATGCCTGAAGCGGACTTTGGAAAACTTGTTTACTGAACAATAATAGAATTTGTTTTAGCTTTTGTCACAGTTATCCAGTTTTATTTCTAAACGGGCATCACGATGCAAGACGTGATGCCAATCAGAACAGTTCTCAGTTACCGGATGATAGAAGTAGGATTGTTTTTATTAGAGGAAGTTTCATGCTTTTGCACCTTCTTCTCTGATTAAACTGGAAATATGTTGTAGAAATCTTTAAACTCCAATGAGAGTGTGTGTGCTTTAATGTTAAAGGATTTTGGTTTTAAAGGTGAAGTTTTATTAGAATATACTGTAAACATTTTAGTTATTCTAAAACAGTTGTAACTTTTTCCTTCTAACTTGGTTTGAAAGCACAGATTCCCAAAATTTTCATGGTTTCCATTTCCATTTTAGACTCATTATTTTGGCTCTTTTGACTAAAAACATGCATCATGTGAGCATTTAAAGGAAATGACTTTGATACTTTTTTTTTTCCCTTTGCAGGTCTCAAGATTTGACATCTTGGTCCTTGCCTACTGCCCCTATCTTCCACCAGTGAAAGTTGTTTCTATTCATTTCCCGCTTGTTATGCTTTGATCTTTCTGATCTTTGCTTTAAATTCTTGTTTGTACTTCTGTTAAAAAAAAAAAAAGTTAATCTCTCTTTATCTGTTCTCAAATCACACCTGAGGGTTCTCATCGTTCTTCCTTTTAAGGGAAATACTCAGATTTCATTTTCAGTTCTTGAAATGCTAATTAAGGAATGTAATTCAGGTCTCTAAAAAATAAATTTAAGCAAGACAACACTTTGTGGTGACCTACTTTATTCCTTGTTATGTGTATCGAAAAAAACAACACTCAGGATGTTGAGTCATATTTAGATTAGATCGTTTATCTTTGATTTGCAACAGCAGAACATAATGTCCACATTATTGTGTCTTTTTTTAGGGTTTTTGATAAAAGAGACAGCTTGGTGTAAAAATAAAAAAAACTTTTATGGTTACTGTTTTTAACTGGACCTTTTCTTCTGAAATAGGGTCCAGTTTCGGTTCAAAAAAGGCTTCTTAATGTTTAAAGAGAGTAATGAGATATCTCAAACTGATTTATCTTTATAAGTTATTTTAAAGCAGATCTAGGTGTCAGGAATAAGGCCTTTACGGCTCTGATTAATGCCATGTTTAATAATTTGTTAAATCTGAAGGTCATAAAACCTAAAAATATTTTCTTTTGTCTGGAATGGAAATGTAATGAAAATTGTATTCTGGAAGAATTGGATTTTTTTTTCATTTGATTAATAAAAACTTTGGGTACCAGTAATGGACATATTTTATATTTACTAATGCATTCACTGTAAGGGAATTGTAAGGCTAAAATACCTTTAATAACCTGTTCCTGGAGCCATCCTCCATTCGTATGGGAGTGGTCCAAACAGAACTTTGTGATTGCCTGGATATCACCAGTAGGAGGAGCACTTGGAGATTATTAGTTTGTTGAAAATGGTCACAAAGTGGCTTTGTGTACCAACAAATATAAGGTTCATACCAGAGCCATGCTATACGTAGAGCCTCAGCTAATCTACGTAACATTTAGAGCTGAAGTGTAAACATAAACAGTAGGAACTTGGACTTTTGCTGTGAATCATCTCATTTAGAATGATCTCTCGTTTTGACAGCAGCCATCAGTCTTCAATCCACTCCTTATTTATCTCATGTAGAAAAAAACTTAACCTGTTTAAAAAGGAATGCAGAGAAGCTGGGATGATGGGTCAGATGTATTCAGATGGGAATTGAAGGCTCAACTGGGAGTTCTGGGACAACAGGGTTAATTACAAAGGATCAGAGGCTGGGAGGAGCTGGAAAAAAATCAGATTGACCTTGCTGGTTAATCCACTTGCTACATTGTCTGAGTGAGTGTTTTACAAACATTTAGCTGCACATGGCCTGTAGTACATTTTCTGGAAAGGTTGGACTATAAGACGGACGGACTGACTGTCAGAATGGTCTCCAGATTCACAGAGTACCTCCATCTTAGGTAGGAAAGTCAAAGACGGGTTGCAGGTTCGTGTTTTAAAGCTGAGTGTGAATCTGTGTGGGCATGAATGTCTGGCTTAATAGCTGGAACCCATGAGTTGTTTTTCATAGAACGTTTTTTGTCTGTGGTACTTTTAACTTCACCTTCATTCTCGCTTTCTATCAAACATATTCTTTAATATGCTTCATTATGTTGTGTTGCTCTGCATAAAAACATTTTTTTTTACAAAGTAGGACTGGAATATTTCCCTTTCTCGGTTTGCCATCACTTTCCAGTTGCCTATTTGTAGAAATAAAATACTTTTTTGCTTGTACTGCGTGTAGTTATACCAATTCCTATTATGATTTGTACTTAATTGGATGAAAGATTGTTCAACTCCAAGTATGGGGCTGATAAAATTTCATGAAATCCCTAAACCTCTCTTGATATGAATAATTTAGCAATTAAATATTGTTTCAGACACTTAACAACCATTGCTTATCTAAATGTGCTGCTGAATAAACTTACATGGTTTCTTTCACTCTTCCTGTAGCTGTAAAACTGCATATCTTCCCCTAACACAATTCCCTTTGCTTATTCATGTAAAGGTAAAAAAAAAAAAAAAAAAAAAAAAGCTTAAACCAAATAAATTTTCTGTTCCAATCGGGAGAATTTCAGACACAAAAAAAAATGCAGGAAAATAATAAAAATTTATTTATTTTGCCCGATGTTTAAAAACTTATATTTTTGTTTCTTTATGAAATCCAAAAAAAGAAATGCACAGTTAAACAGTTTTTTTTTAAGGCATGCCTTGAAAAAGCTTTTCATTTTACATTTAAGTGTAAAATTTGTGGAAAAAGAATAATACTTCCATGTAAAGCATCTCCTGCCAACAGTTAAATACAGTGGAGGATCTGTGATGCTGTCGGCCTGTCTTTAAAAAGAGCCCCTTGTTGGAGTACATGGCAACAGCAACTTGTAATTTATGCTATAAAACTCAAAATGAAGGGGTTATTGCCTCTATTAGTATAACAGTTCAATATATATGTGCAAAACAAGCAAATAAAAAATCTAGAGAAAACTAGTGGTTTTATTTGAATAGATTGTAAGAAAATATGGCTTATATAGATCTATATATGTAGATATGAACACCAGGGACAAGTCTCTCTGGAAAAGCCACCAGTCCATCACAGGATAGCACATAGACACACATGTCTGTCCTACACTGTTACATTTTGATCACTGCAGTACTTTATGAATGGAAATGCTTTTTCACTGCTAAGCTGCTGCTGATTCACTGTTTTAAAGCTGTATAAACAGAATTTCGTTTTGTATAAACTCTATGTATGCAATATCACAATAGTTTGTCTAAGTCTAACTATGCACAGACACCTGAGGACAATTAATGTTGTGGCCTGTGGGAGGAAGCTAGAGTAACCAGGAAGAACTCACAAATATATATAGGGAGAACATAGAAACTCCATGCAGAAACAGTGCTACAATCTGCATCTGAATTTTCTAAGTCTTCATCATGGTCACAAATGACATGGGAGCTGGCTCGGTGCTCGTCTGCCTGGCTCTGTGTTTCCTGGACGGGGCCGCCTTTTACAGCTGCTTTTTGTATCTCTGCTTCTGTCTCCTTGAACCCCAGTCGGCCTCGGCAGATGGCCGCTCACACTGAGCCTGGTTCTGCTGGAGGTTTCTTCCTGTTAAAAGGGAGTTTTTCCTCTCCACTGTCGCTACAAGCATGCTTAGTTTGAGGGATTGTATTTGAGTCAATGAGTCAATGCAATCAACTGGTTTTCCTTAGAAAACTTTGAATCAATTTGACTGCATTATCTGGTTGAACTGTAAAAGTGCCCTGAGAAAACATGTGTTGCGAATTGGCACTATATAAATAAACTGAATTGAATTGTATACTTAAATAGCCTGTTGACCTTCTGATAATTAAACAAGACTAAATATTATGAAAAAAAAATGTAAATGTACATGTTTAGCAAAAGAAAAAAGATATTGGCACATTAAGGGTTTTGAAACGACCAAGCAATTATTCAAATTTTTCTAATTTATAATTTTTTTCTTATTTTCCTTAGTATGTACCTAGGTTAGTTCAGGTATGTTCAAATGTTCCTAGGTACAAGCCAAATAATGAGTTACATGTACTTACCATTTGAGGTTCATAAAAAATGTTTTTATTTAAAATCAATGGAATCTAAATGGCTGCAAAGTGTTGCAGTGGGTAGCACTGCTGCCTTGCAGCAAGAAGGTTTCAGATTCGATATCCGGCCTGGGATCTTTGTGCATGGAGTTTGCATGTTCTCCCTGAGCATGCATGGTATCTCTCTGGGTATCCCGGCTTCCTCCCACAGTCCAAAACATGACTGTTAGGTTAATTTAACTGCCAACCTGTCCAGCATGTACCCCGCCCCATTGAGAGCTGGAGATAGGCACCAGCACCCCTTTTGACCCCAGCAGGGATAAGCGTGATGGAAAAGGGATGGATGAATCTAAATGAAATTGAAGAAAAGAAAAATCCCCTATGTGTTTGAATATGAGAAAATTACCAATATGACTATGATTAACTTTAGGATATTGATACCCCTGGTAGATTGTGTTTAAAATTCATTATTTAATTTGAACTGGCCTGAACAGAGAGGTGATTTATGGAGGCAGGGCCGCTTCCCAAAGACTTGGAGCTGATCGCCTAATGATCATCCGAAATTTTATTTCAAATACTAAAATGTAGATTAAAAATACTTCTGTAATTTAAAACTATTTTCATATAGTTTTATTATCATTAACGTTTTACCATATCTCCTGTAAGAAATCAACTTCTTGGTTGAGTAAAGAAAGGCTTAACTCTACTGAGGTAAACTAGGCAGGCCGCAGTACTTGCTTTCACCAGGTGGGGGCGGTGTTGTCTCCATAAATCGGACCTGTTGTTCCGACCAATCCCTGAGCTGCGGTCAGCGGCGATCCAGCGCCAATCCTCCGCTGCGGGAGAGAGGGAACAGCTCACAGACAGCAGAGGAAACTAAAGGAAGAAGCGGACGGAGCGGAGCTTCTTGTCCGCATGGCTCAGTAGCAGAGTGGTCTGGCAATGGAGAGGCGTCACCCATAGGACCCGAAACAGACCCCGAACTGGAGCGGGAGGTGACCTATCGATTATAGATCGGATGTCAGTCGTGTGTGGGACAGACGGAAGAAGAAAAGGAGAAGAAACATGAGTCGGCAGCAGCCTCAGGGAGTGGTTTTAACGGGTTACCACAGCAACGCCGTGCTGTTACAGCAACCGGGACTGTGTGGCTGCCCGCCAGTACCGGACCGGGAGCCCGAACTGCTCAGGTGGGAACTATGGCCCTAATGGCCCAATAATTAATTACACCAGTCGGAGATAAAAAGAAAAAAAGAAAAAAGCAAGCTGCGTGTGTCTGTGTGTTTATGAGCAAAGTGGGCAAAGGTCAGAGTAATCCAGCGTTTTTCCTCATTTTGTGGTGTTGAGGTGCTGACTTTGCAGGAAAGTTGCTCTCCTCTGCATGCCAAGGGTGCACCCTGCAGGATGGAGCAACAGCCCACTCAGCTGCACCACAGGCGGCCCTCTTTTATTGCACCTCTTGGGGACATGCAGCCCCACCCTTGGCCTCTTGATGTTTTTCCTTTACCTCATTTCTAATCAGCACCTTCACCTTGACCATGTGCGCAGTTCCACATTAAACAAAGGTTACCAACCCCAGCAGGGCTAAATCCATTTCTACTTTTACTTAAGGTCCTAATCCTAAATCCATATAATTGATATAGGAGATTTGAACAGACTGTGCAAAGAGAGCATTGATCAGGCCATGCTGTGGAAGAGCTGCAGAGATCTACAGCTCAGGTGGGATTATCTGTAAACAGAGCAGCTGTCAGGCAGGTAACTGTTCTTATAAAGGGGAGAAGTGTCAAAATGAAAGACATCTGTAAATTTAATTTCATATTTATATTGACACACACACACCATTAACTTTGTTTGGTACAGACAGTACCCTCCATTTAGCTAAAATGTTCATCAGCTTGAAGCAACACCATCCACACACTGGGGTCAGAGTTAATGGGAGCATTGAAGCTAAATATTGGGTAATCCTTAAGGAATACCTGTTAGAAAAAAACTTTCAGCAGGATGACAACCACTAATCTCCAAATACAGTTAGGGTTACAATAGTGTTATTTGAAATAATGTATATTTAAGTGTCCTAGTTAAATTTATCACCTTTACTGACACAGATTTGATATTAAAAAAAAGGAACGTTTTTATACTCTCCTTCAGTGTTGTATAAAGTCAGGAGTCAAGTACCTCTCCAAAATATGACTTTGGTAAAAGTCCAAGTCACTGACTGAAATGTTACTCGAGTAAAAGTCTTAAAGTATCTGAAATGGCTTGTACTTAAGTATAAGAATTACTGTAAAAATAGATCTACTCAAGTAATGTAGTGAAAACTATAAGTAAAAAGTGCAGTTTGAATGACATTTTTTTACATTTTGATAAACTTTGAAGGTCAAATTTACTTAAAATAATATAAACAACCAAGTGTAGGATAAATTTAGACTGGCTTTGCGAAAAAGACGTATCCTATTGGTGTTGATGAACAAGCCCAGGCACGACCCGACTTTGTAGTCAGTAGGGGGCAAAACACTCTGGCTCGTTTTTTTATTTATTTATTTTTTTACTTAGTAACTAAACCAAACACTGAAAATGTATCGGAGTAAAAGTATGCAATTAAGTTTGTAAATGTAGTGAAGTAAAAGTGAAAGTTCTCAAAAAAATGTATACTCTTGGAAAGTATAAAGTACTCCAAAATATACTTAAGTACAGTAGTGAAGTATTTTTACTTTGTTACTATACAACACTGCTCTCCATATGTATTAAAATGACACTGTCAGTCTAATTTGTAAAATAAAAAAACTCCTTTGGAGTCCTTTAGAGTTGTTTTAATGAGTCAATTTTAATGACAGCTTTTATAACAAATCTGTATTTTGTCAGTTCAAACACAGTATGTCTGGATTATCAAAAGCATTGAGCTGCTGGAGGAAAGAGATATTTGTTGACTAAGCATGTCAGCTATGCTAAACATGTCATCACCCTAAAAGGAAGGAAAAAAGCCCTGAAGTATCTTCCTTCAGAGCTGGCTGGAATTTTTTTTTTCTGTTTATTCTGTGGACTTTTTGTTGATTTAAAAAAACTTCCCTTTCACATTTCAACTCTTATTTCCTCTACTATTAATCAAAAAGATCTCAAAAACTCAGGAAAGCCCTGGTACTGAAGTGTCCAGTTAGTTTACAAACATTTTTTAAAAATGTTTTTCCACCTTTATCATTTAACATTCATGCTTCATTGCTACTTGATTGTAAAGTAGAAAAAATGTAAGCATTTTATAGGCAATAATAACCTTTGGTCATGCAAATGGAGGCCCGATAGTTCTGTACGGTTAGACTCCTACTTTATAAATGGCTCATCTCTATCCTCATCCAAGGAGGGGCCTCTGCATGACAAAAAATAAAGTGGTGAAGCTTAGAAAGCCAAATAAGCTTGTGGTTTATGTGACTACATCTACCCATGTGAGTGTGGCGGTATATACAATGGAGATGCGTGTGCTCCAGATGGCTGGCTTAAAAAAAAACAAGTGTCACGTTACAGACTTCCTTTGTTTCACCTCCGTAAGCAGAGTGTGAGTTGCGTCTAGGCTGACCTGTGGAAAGCTAAGTTTGGAGACCATTGTTTCCTTCAGGTCAGGAAACGTAGAACAAGCAGACCGTAAGCTTCTGGCGTCTTATCAGCTGGACATCCTACCTAAGGAGCCTTGGGTTATATTTCTACGTGACTGTCCTTTAAATGGGGGGAAGTGTGGAAGGTGGGCAGAGAGGTTGGGTTTTCCAGCTAAGCTGAGCTCAAACTCTTGTATAGATTCAGATCCTGAAACACATTAAATAAGGTTCACATCAAATTGGAGGATCAAGAATGACAAACTGTCCGAATATTTGGGAATTTTCTTTCAGACACCAGTGGCGTCTCCAGTGGGTGGTCACAGCCACTCTGTGCAATGCACCGGCCGCCCCACTGTAGATTGTAGTAGCATCAGTTTAGCTTTTCATCCCATTATGCACAGCCAGCGACCTAACAATAAAAATCAAAAAATAAACCAAGATATGAGTCAGTGTTTACTTAAGTCTTTATGATTTCTACAGGCATGTTTACAACAATAGTAGATTCCAACCCTGTAATTATGGCTTTTAGTTTTAGTGTGCCACCCCAAAGTTTTTAGTGGCCCTATCTGCCCCCCCTCTATGAAACATTTCTGGAGGCCCCACTGTGGGACACAAGGATGGATTGTCTGTTATTGATTCATCAGAGCTGAAGGACAGATGATGTATTCAAGCATTTGGGTCATTGTTGGAGCCAGTAGCTGCATTGAGGGGTTTACAGAGCGAGCTCTGTCTAGAAATGGGCCAGCTGACATCTGTTGATCTGCATGTAGATGCCACACATAAGCAATACGTTCCCCTTCTTTTGTTTTAAAGTATATAAGAGATTTCTGAAACTGGTGCACTGTAACCATCAAAGCAAACAAAATACTTATTTCTTCCATAATCACATGATTATCATTTAATTTGTGAGATCTTAACAGGACATATTATATCACTGGGTCTAAAGTAGAGGTGGACAGTAAATTATTTTGTATAATTAAATATAGAATCCAGTCTATAATTACAGTATTTAACATGAACTGATGTTCCAGGTTTTGTTTTTAAAAAATTTTTTAAAGGAAATATTTCAAAAATTTTATATTGTAGACATTTTATGGTAAAAATAATTGTCTTAACTTTGTACAGAATTCTTCTATGAGCAATCTTTGTAGGCTTTTTAAGGCTTATCTTAATTATATTGTATCGAATAAAATCAGTGAATATGTTATAAGTTTTGGCCATATCAGGTCTAGTCTAAACCGGAAAAAAAAGCAGAATACTGAAAAACACAATGAGTTGAATAAACTGGCGTTGAACGGTCTGGCCAAGCTGTTTGTTCTGATCCCAGTTTATGTTCGCTTCAGGGCTGACATCCCCGTTTCCTGGTTGAAAAGGTTTTCTCCGTGCAGACACACACCAACCTACTTACACCCTCCATCTTTGTTGGCAGCTGATCAAAGGTGTGTGGATGATGGAGGTACAAAGACTAGATCAACTGCACTAACAGTCGTAGCTCTCTTCTCCTTTTCAGGTGTTATTCTTCCCAGGTGTTAACCTTTCTCAGGTTACAGTAAACGGTATGGTTACATACTGTAATATGGTTACAGTAAGCTTATAAATGTGGGGGAAAAGCTGTGTTTGGTGTATATCTTTATAGGCGCTGATAACCTGCTTCCCATAAAGTAGATCTACCTGCATGCTTGTTTTTACTGAGTCTTAAAGATTACTTAATAACCCAGACTTGAAAGAGAGAAAAAAAATCTGATCCTAAATGTGATTTTCTTTTTAGTCAGTCTTAGATTTGTTTTCATTTAAGAAACCTCTATCTTTTGTGAAATAACGCCTCATGGCTGTCATCTCCAACATGTCTAAGAGAAGGTTAAAATATTTATCTTGTCCAATTAATACACATATTGTTTAACATTTTTCTCACTTACTTTTCTTGTGGCAATAGAAAGCAGTTAATCAAACTTCTAATTTTGTTGTCCGAACATGTGAAATTAATATGAGGCATTTAGGAAATACACCCCTAATAGTTCTCAATAGATGAGGTCTGTTATGATGGTTACAGAGAACCATTCGTTTCAATTTTTACACAAACAATTAATTTAAAACAAAAATCGTTTTGACATAATGTATATGCTGTTATCTAAAACAAAAAATCTGATATTCCCTGCTGCTAAAATAAAGTAAAAAAAAAAATATATATATATATATATTAGCAGAGTTTTAAATCTCCTGCAAAACCTTGTTTTAGTCAGATCAGAATGACTGCAAGGGAAGCATTGTCTCTGTTATTTCTAAATAATCGATTATTGAAATACTGAAATACTCAAATAAATACTGGAGTATAGAGACTGTAAAACATCACTTTAGCTGACAGAGCAACCAACTTGGAGCAGTAATTATATAAAAATTGTAAAAAAAAAAATACTAATAATAATAATAAAAAATATATATATATATATATGACCATAATCTTTTTGCTGCTGTAAACACCAGAATTTCCCCATTGTGGGACAATAAAGGGGTTTTCTATTCTATTCTATGAAAGGGATAGAAAGATATAAGTAAATCTAAACAATGTTTGTATTAAAAAATAAATGTGCAAAATCTTTTATATTCAACAACAAAAAATACTTATTTAAGCCAACTGAGCAAAATAGCAATTAACAAATCAAAATCCTATCAGATTTATAGTCCCCACACTGCAGATATAGGTATTAGAATCTGTCCTTAAATTACAGCCAAACCCATTTACACAGTAACTGATAAAAACCTTTGGATAAACCAAACATTACCGCCACATATCTGACTCAGTAACCATTAGAACAACAATTTTCATTCATTTCAGACAGGGACTAATCACATACTTGTATGACATTAAACTGAACTTCCAACATTCATCACTGTTCAGCGCCACGTACCTTTTTCCTCTGATCACGGAACAGCTTGCTTGGTTTGATTTGCAATGAATCATGGGATAACAAAGTGCAGATAGGATAGACCAGACCCATCCTTAAAATCACGCAAAAAGAAGGATGCATTTGTAGGCCACATAACGAATCTGGCCTTCGCAGGACGCATCCCATAAATTCTAATGCAGCCATAGATTTTCACACTAATTGCATCTCCCATTCCCTCTGTGCTGGCAGCAAACCCACTTGAAGCACATTATTGCCAGCTACAGGGGTGGAGTGAGAAACATAGTGTCCTCTTAAAGGTAATGTAACCAAAACTGGATGACAGGGATTTGCAGAGTGTGTTTTGTAAAATTATGATTACATTTCAATCACGCTTGATTGCCCAGCACTATATGAATTCATAAACTATATCAATCAAACAACTGAAGCAGGTTTTTGGTAAGAAAGCAAATGACCTCAAACTAGGGTCAGACGTTGAAATATAAAATGTAAAAAAAAAAAAAAAAAAAAAAAAAAAAGAAGAAGTGCGTTGAAAAATGTGATGTCCTAAAAATGTGGTTTGGTTTCATGAGTGATTACTATATATATATATATATATATATATATATATATATATATATATATATATATATATATATATATATATATATATATATATATATTTAGTAAATAGGATTAGAGTACATTGTGTGATTTTAATTTTTTTAAACAAGGAAATAATTGTTACTTAATCCCCTAATCAGGTTAGTTAAGACAAGGATAGGGTTAAGAATATCTGCCACACTTTTTTGGACTTAATTGATATCAAACATACTGATTTAAAGCCCCATTATCAAGCATTTTTATTTAATAATGATGTCTTAGGCTAAAATCGATAACCTTGATGCACAAGAAGTATTCAGATCAAAAAGAGGTTGGTTGGATTTAATCATTCCTGTTTTGTTGTTTTTTTTACCCAAACTTGTGTTAAATCTGGTCCTTTTTCTCTACCAGTGAAACACTGGTTGCTTCTAGAAGATAAGTCTCAGATAAATGCCTTTCAGTGGAAAATCTTTTTAATCTCAGGTCTTCAAAGTTGAAAAGTTTGTGTACTTTCTCAAACAAATTAACCAGCAGACCCATAAATGAACAAGTCTCTTTATCCATTAGGTTTGATTTTTGTTCTGCTCTGTTAAAGTTTACATGCAATGCTTAAATTAATGCTTGATGTTTTTGTCCATTTGTTTGTCTCTAATTTTAGGTTTAAACCATAATTACCTTAAAAACTTGTTGAATGTAAACGACTCTCTCGTGTTTGAGCGAGCTTGAGTTTGTTGACTGGATTTAAACCAAATATTGTCAAATAAATCAGCAAAAGGGGAACATTTTTGCAATTCCATACAAGTGAAATCACTTGAACTGGGGCGCCCTGATGGGATCAAGTTTTCATAACTATGAGCACAGAGGAGGATGGGTCACAGAGGCTCGGCTAAGTCTCAGCATGAGGAGGGAGAAAAAGGGAAAAAAATGGGAGTAGTAGAGGGAGTTAAAAGGAGAGAAACTAAAGAGCTTACTTAGTAAGAGGTCTGATCCGAGTATGTGTGTTTTATTCTAAAGTAAACAAAGGTTGGCAGAAGGTCTGCTTTGGTATGTTGCCTTTCTCAGTGTGAACTTTCAGATTAATGCTCTCTGCTGGTAATTCCAAGTTAATTAATACAGTACATCAATCCTCCTTTTAGGTAACCCCAGTCATACTAACACTTAGAGTTCTGATGTTTATGCTTCCTCTGCCCTGCTGACGAGTGTTGTTCTTTGTGACAGTGTGTTTGAGCAGAGGATATTATGCAAATGGACGGACGTGACAGGTGAAAGCCCGCTTTCAGCAGCTGTTGACTGAGAGCAGGACAAGGACCCCACAGAGGCTACGACTACGTCATCTGCTCTGCAACAGCTGCAGGGCATGGGAAGGGAAAGAACAACTTCTTGTGTGCAATTGTGAAACAAGTTAGGGAAATCCTTGCTGCCAGAACTGACTGCTTTTGTTTATGTAAAGGTTTTTTTTTCTGTTATAAGGGATTTGAAATTATTTAATCTGTCAGTTTATCCCTTGGATGGATTTGTAACCTTAAAGATGACTGAAATAACTCACAAAAGATCCTCAGACCAAGTCTCTTAAAAACTTGGCTTTCAGACTTTTACCAAAATAAAAGCAGAGTAGATCATATATCATCATTAGCTAGATGATTAATGACCCAACATGTCCTACTGAGGTTTTAAAGGATGATCGTTTAACTGCTTTTGCTTTACATACATAATACATTGACACAACTGATAAAGATGCATGAAAATAGATAAATGTTCATTTCAAAAAGTTTTTTTCAAACCTGCACACATTTTACAATACATATGCAATACAAATGTGTTGTTATATGTTGCATTATTATAATAATGATGGACCCTCGTGTGATGTAATTCTGTGAAAGAAGGCAGCAGCAGCTCAGTCTTTTGGTGCACACCAAGCAGTGGTGCCGGATGGTTTGGTTTCCTCATCAGTCTGCTGTGAGAAATATGTTGATTCAAGTGCTATGGCATCCCTAAGCCATTTGTCCTGAGTTGGGTGTGGGTTGTAAGACAGGTTTCATTTTAGTGATTTCTTACTACCATCTTGCAATAATAAGGCCTGAATATAACTAGTAAATTTGAGCTCAGCTTTCTAAAAACACAAGAAAAGATCATTTATGATGTTAAAAAGACTAGATATTTTTTTTCATTAGCAAATTCAATAATCATTTGGAGGAGGCTTTTTTGGAACCATTCAGGTTATTTTTATGTTTTGACAACATGAATTAAAACTGAAACATGTAAGTATGACAAAAGGCTATCATAAAATAAATGTTCACATTAATTTTGAAAACTAATGCACAAACGTGGTTGTTTACTAAATGTGGTGCACCAGTGTTTTCACCAATAAATGAAGTCTGTTAGTCCTAGCCAGCTGCTATATCAGCTGTGCTAAGCAACAATAATGTTCTGTAGGGTTATGGACTGACTGAGATTGATGTGTTTATCTTGCAAAGCGAAGGTCGACATGCAGGAAAGGTGCTATTCCTGTTCCTGGCAGATGTTACTCTCATTAGCAGTGTGGTTGAAAATTGAACGTGCTGGTTGGCTTTTCTTAGCTTTCAACCTTTGGCCAACCCACCCCTGTTTGACACACACTCACTAATCTGTGTTGAAGATATTGGACTGTAAGAAAACATGGCTGGATTAAAACAGCTCTCAGGCAATAAAATCCTTGTGGAAAAGTGATCGTCATTTATAAATGATACACTGCATGGCTCCAAGTGTAACAAAATTCCAGTTATGTTTTCAAAGATATGGATGGCTATCATTTTTATTTATCTGTGCGTGTTTCTGTTTTATTAACAGTCGAAAAACAGGCCACTACAGTCTTCAGCAGAATCAGAACACACAAGATCCAGAAGATAGATATGGATCTTCATCAGCAACCAGCAATACAGGAACAGGAAGCATCAACTCAGCGTTGCTCCACAATTCCATCTCCGCTGCTCACCCTGGGTCCCATCCCTCCAGTCCAAGGCACAGTCCCAACCCCAGACCCAGACAACGGCCCACATGCCTGCGCAGCTTTTCTCAGGTTTACATAATTTAACTTTCATTGTTTATAAACCAATCTGTGTACTGCAGGGTTGAAGGTTTATTGCCGATGATTTTATGAATTTGTGGAAAAGAAACTCCTAAGTTTCTTTTTGAATGGATGCGGATCAGGGATGGGCATTTATCGTATCGTTTATCGTTATCGCGATAAATAATATACCTTTGATCATCAGTGAGTATTTAAAAAACACAAGTCAGGGTAAACACAAAGAAAGAACACGCTCTCTAAAAGAAAAATGTATTTTCTAAACACTGAACGAGAGCAGCAACTCATTGTGGCACTAAACGAGTAGGAAAGATTTTAAGCAAATAACAGGAAGGCTTTTATCTGTTTGGATCTACATTTTCCAGGGAATACTAAGTCTAAAATCCTAAAGATGGTTTAAAATGCTTAAAACTGGAAATTCAATTTCAGTTTAATACAGTTTATTTATATAGCGCCAATTCACAAGACGTCATCTCAAGGCACTTTACAATTCGTCAGATCATACAGTCAAATTGATACAAAGTTTTTTATCTAAGGAAAACCAGTTGATTGCATCAACTCCTTGACTCAAAGGCAATCTCTCTCACTAAGCATGCTTGTAGTGACAGTGGAAAGGAAAACCTCCCTTTTAACAGGAAGAAACCTGCAACAGAACCAGACTCCGTGTGAACCAGACTCAGAAATTAGACTGTTTGATCTTTAATATCCATCTAACAAACGTCTTACTGCCATTTAAACATCACATTTAAATCCTGTTCTGCAGTCATTTCAGGTCATAAATAAATGGTTTCACTCCGGGTCAGTACTGTGGGCTGTTCTGTCAACAGTACAACCGTAAAGCTTTTTCTCATTTTTTTTTTTTCCCATTCCCAAGATTTTAGCTCCTCTTATACCTTCATGGCGTCCACAGTATGAACTCTTTTGTGGGTAAGCAACCAACTGTAACTCCAGATCTGGACAGCTATGTGCCTTATGGATGTCACTCTGTCATTGAATGATGCTTTTAGATTGGGATTAAAGCCTTCTGAAAAAAAATGCTGCAAATGGCTAAAGCTTTTAGCTTTTTATTATATAACTTCAACATTTGAAGATGTGCACATCTATATATTTCACACACCCCAAATGTGAAGCAATTGTGTATTTTTCTAAATTCCATGAGGTGAGCTGTTCTGTCATGCAAAGGATTGTGGGAGTTATTATAGTTTCTAGTTGCTAGATAAGACCATCGGGGCCCTAAGCTAGGTAAACTATCAGAAGGGAGCTTTCTGTGTCCTTTTCCTACCTCTTTCTTAACGTCCAGCACTATGAGGACTATTCTGATACCCTTCCTGACACAACCAGGGATTTAACCTGTGTCGAATCATCCTTAAAATGTAGAGCTATAAAACTTTTACCTGTTTATATAAATTAAAATATTACCTAACCCTAACCCTTATTATCAAAATCAATCTTTGCTATATTATGTAATAATTCTGTTAATGAATAATAATTTTCATGTTTATTTTAGAAAAACCTTGATGATTTTAGTATAAAATTGTGTATTGGATTGATTGGACTGTAATGTACATGTTTTCAATGCTGCCTCTTGTGCATTGATAGTGTCAGTACACACTCAGAGCGCCTTGCTGGAAAGAAGTCTTGTGCAATGACTGACCCAATTACACTGTTTTATACCTTTTATGCTATCTTGCTCTTTGAATCATTGACTATCTATACAACTACAGGGGAACACGAAAATAAAAGCAAATAAATTGACCTGCAAGAGTATTTCTGTTTCAGCATGTGCAAATTATTTGAAGGGATGAATTGTGCTTCCTACTATAATAATACAGTTACAGTCGGGTTGTGCAATATGGATTAAAAATATAATTTTTCTTTTTTCCTACCAATTCTGACTAAGTGATTTTTGTTTTTCTCTTAAGATTCATAATAGAAAATATAAATGATGTATACTGCTTTCGAAAAAGTAGCTGTGACTTTAATCATCCCCTCTGGGACGTGATCTTAATTTAAAGGGCAACAAAATGCAAGCTGTGAAAAATGCTGTAAAACAATCATGTTTCACAACAAAACAAAAGTATAAAGCAATAAATGTTTCCAGATAGACGAATCCCACAGTGAGCTAGTTTAACAGTTATGAATACAGATCTAAGAACAAAAATAGGAGAATTTATTTATTCTTAGCTATTGAAGTCCAAGGAGTGGATTGGTGGGGGAAAAAAAATCTCAAAATCTTTATTCATTAAAAAAATCGATTATTCGCCCAAGTTACAGATGTATTTCATTTCCTGTGTGGAAATGATGCTAATATTTAGTTACACTGAGCTTTATTTCTTTTAAGTTGGGCTCCACCTGTTGGATGGGAGTTTAGTGTTTGTAAAATCTTATAGCTGCTAAGACCGGTGTTTCTTAGTATAGATATGGCTCTATGAAAATCAATCTTTGGATTTCGCTATAAGTAATTAAATTTGAGGATATTTCTTTAAAAAATCTGTTTGTACTGGTAATGGGAACTCTGATAGTTTCTGTCAGAAGCGTGTTGTGACAGGCTGTGGTTGTTGTTTTTTTTTGTTGTATTTTTGTTCTAGCCTGAACCTGTTGCGTGAGATCCTGTAGGGGCTTTTCTTTTTTTTTTTTTTTTTTTTTGTGGAAAAACATTAAGGAACAAAACTTCAGCTGAGTACAGAAAAAGGAACGAGGCCCTGAAGCTGCAAATGTGTACGTCCCAAATCCTGATCATATGCGCTTTACACAGGACTCCCTAGATGAGCTGGAGATGGACGACTACTGGAAGGAGATCGAGAACATCAAGAGCTCAGGGGAAGGACCAGGGAGAGGAGGAGAAGGAGAAGCTCAAGAAGAGGAGCAGCAGAAAACACCTGAAGGTGGGAAACACGGTTTTAATCAAAGGGATGGAAACATTTTAATGTTTCTTGAATCTATAGATCCGTCTTCTAGTGTAGATTGTTTTAAACAGTGATCCCATATATGGAGGCAAGCTAGTTGAGGCATGTGTGCGCAGTTTCAGTTGCGATCTGAACAATGGATATGAAACTTAAAATGCCCTTTTTATCCTTTTATGTAAGGAACATGCTGGCAGTAAGTTTTCAAATGTTTTATCTCTTTTATTGGAAGCTGGTTGCAGAACCAGAACTCATGCACTGTTTATCTCTATATATATTATCTTTATTGGCCTAAAGGCTATTGAGAACATTTTCTATACATTTATTTCTTGATTTGGATAATTAAGGCTTTATTAAAATAATTAACTTTTTCTTTAAAGCTGCAGAATAAGTATACTCCTTCCTGAATGATTATTTTTCATTCTCCAGTTCATCCATTTATATTTCTTTCAAGCATTCAATTTTGGTGTAGGAAAGAAGGAGAGTTTGCTCTAAAAAATGTCCTTTTCTCTTTAGAAGTTGTTAATTATGTTCTTATGTCAGGATTAATTAAAAAGTGACCCTTTCTTCTTTCAGAAGGAGAGCATGAGGAGGCTTGGCTCACAGAGGCGGGGCTAGCACCGCTCTTTGATGATTCGTTGGCAGCGGAAGACCAGGTTAGATTATAAACAGCATGGACATGCATCACATCACATCGGTCAGAATCGAGGTGCTAAAGGCAGATGAACAAACGGGTATCTTGCTCCGTTTTTTTTTTTTGGTCCTGATCGGTTGACAGGAAGAAGACAGCGCCGTCTTCCTGTCCACTCTCACCAGAACGCAAGCTGCCGCTGTACAACGCCGTGTGTCGACTTACCAGCAGACGCTGCTGCGGCGACGGAACCGCCAGCACAACCGCCAACACTTCCCTGATGTTCGGGATATATTTAAACCTCGTGAAAAGGTGAGGTGATGGACCATGTGCTGTTTACGGATGTGTTTGTGAAAGTGTGTTTAAATGAGAAATACATCCACTGCATATATTATATACAGCCTAGAAGTAAAGCTTTAGATATCGAAAGCGATTGTGGAGAAAGAAATGGTTTTACTAAAGGAAATATGAGGTTTCTTCTTGGATCTATAAATTTAATTTGCAGTTGTATATTGACCTTTATTTAGCTGTTTAATTACAGCCTAACCTCATATTTGAATGAATAATTCATGCAAAGGGATAATTATCAGATTATTGAGGTAACTATGAGGTAACTAAGAGGATCTATGTGTAAAAGCTTTTGTTAAATTCAAACTATTTGGTCCCTGAGAAAATCAATGATCCTTTCCTTTAATCCTTCCAGAGTTGCGTAAGAAAAACAGCAGAATAGGTCATTTTCATTTGATCCTCTTAATTGTGAAAAATTTTGGTTGTACAGCTCCTCTTTTCTCTAAAATTTCAAACTCTAAACATAAGCTTAAATAAGTGAGATTTATGTCTTGTGAAAAAATGGCCCAACTAAAATGGATGATTGAAAATATTGAACAGTTTTATATGAGTAACTTGTACAAATCGACCAGCAGCCTCTGCACAAAATGTTTTGTGAATGAAAAGCAAAGTGCATAGATTTCTGGTATTGTTAAAAAGTTCAAAACACCTCAAATAACAGAAAAACTAACAACCAGGAGCTTCAAATGTCCTTTGTGTCTACATATGTGGCAGAAATATGAATAATTCTAATGCAACATGCCTCTTTTTTTTAAGCTGCCGCTTTATACAGAGTAGCTGTTCCCGATGAATGAGATCTACTTTTTTAACTGTTAGCGGGATAAAATGGTTGTTTTCTTTTTTATTCCCACGTTCCTTTGACACAATTTAGTAATTCCTCTCTGCCAAAGCAGCGAGTGCTTGGCTAATCCTGATAGGAGATTATAAAAGGAGAATGATTCAGATTTCCTACCAGTCTTACAGCAGAGAGGAAATAAAGATTTAATATTTATAGTTCTAAGGTTAAACTAATAAATACTTTTTAAAATATCCTTATGTATCTTGATTATTAATAATACTGTAGGTTTCAAAATATTAATGGGCCTTTGCAAACAAGAAGGGATTAATGTGTACTTTCATATTTAAAGGAACTCTTTATCACAAAGCATAGAATAGATTATTATAGTGTGTGATTCAATTTTACTAATGGAACTAATTAGTTTCAAAAAGTCATCATGTGAGCCAAAACATAATTATCTTAATACTTCTAATTTACCTAAGGACTTAGGCTAGTAATAGAAACTGCGTTACTTTGACTTTTAAGACTAAAATGTACACTTAAATAAAATAATTTTTGGGGTTGATTAGAATGGAGATGTCTTCATTCCACAGTTATGATTTCCATTAATAACTTTTTTCAGCAGCTCAATTCACCAAGGGACCCACACTATATACAGTAGATAAACTACACATTGACAAACTTTCCTTTCTGTTAAATACAATGCATTTAGGCTTGCTGCTAATAAAACGCAACCTTTAAGATTAGAATATTACATCAGAGAAATAAAATTGTGCACTTAATAAATATTATTAATTGTTATCAATGGTGTACTTCACAGGACTCAGACCTGATGTGTACCATGCTATAAAGTTTGGTGGAAGGAAAAAGTCTGTGAGAAAGATAGCATCAAGGATAGCTACAGGCTGGATCGGAGCTTAAAGATCCACCACATGCTGACATATTCAGGACATAGGCTGTTACTGTTGCAATCCTTTTGGTCAAGTCACCCTTTTAGCTCTAGAAGCTTCATTTTTACATTATAAATGTTGCTTTTCATTTATAAATCATGGACCCAAAGTCGAATGGATGCAGAGACACTTAATCCAAGTTCCTTGAAGCCAAGTTTAAAGTTTTAGCAGTCAGTGATGATTTGGGGTGTTATGTCATCTGCTCATGTTTACCTACTGACTGCTTATTAGTCCAAACTCAGAGCAGATGTCTACCAGAATATGTGAGAGCAACTCATGCCTTGCTTTGCTCACAGTCTTTATAAAGATGCAGTTTTCTTTCCCCAACGTTACTGGCACTGACGCGTGTGAAGAAAATGAGGAATGCCTGGTTTAACAATCACAGAGAGCTTGATTGGCCAGAGGATCTCCAACCTAACCCTGACCCATTAATTTTTTTAATTTTTTTTTTTTTTATGTAGCATTTAGACTATATTGATTCAATGTACTGTGTCTTACTAAAAAGTACATCTCTAACATTTATGGTGATATTTCATCATATATTTCCATAGGTCTACACTAAAAACGGGAAACTTTGGTAAAATATCAAGTAGTCAGTGTACAGCCTGTAAACTTGCTGCCCTCTCAATACAAGACACAGACTTTTATGTCTAAATTGCTGCAAAAAAAAAGTGAGTACAGACCAACGTGAAAATGCGTTAAGGAGCTCAGACCATGTGTGTACACTGCAGGAAGGAATACTAATACTAATAATTCCATGAAAACATTTAGTAACATGGTAACAAAAAATTGTTGTAATAACTTATTTGAGATACAATACATATCTAAGGTTTTGTGAGTGCAGCAGGACATTTACGTACTTATAAGTAGGCCAATATTTTCTTTTTAACATCATTTTTTTGGTTTTATGTAATGTTCTGATTTTATATTTATATAACCTTTTAAAGTTTTAATGGTCAAAATTAATATCTCAAATAAATAACTTCATCTGAAATAAATCTGTTTTTATACCTTAACTATGTAATGCCCCAGATATCCCTTGAAAATGTTCCTTGAAACCTAATAATTAAGCTGTATTCATATATGGCAGTTTATTCTTTGTTTATCACCCTTCATGCTGCACGTTTATGTTTCACTGTTGTCATATTTGCTGCAGGATGAAGAGCCTCCAAAACCAAAAAATGGAAGTGAAAAAGATGCAACTACTGCTGGTGAGGAGCAGGTTTTGATCAAAACACACTCAGGATCAGTCAGCATGCAGTAGTTTTATTTGATGCAATGGTATACATCACTAAATTAATTAATACAGAATCAGAATTACCTGCAGAGTTGGAGACCAGGTGCCATTAATGGATGATATATCAAAGAAAAGATTCAAGATTGATAAATGTATTTATATCTATAAAAAAGTGAGCATAGTCTTAGTTAAATATAGCATTTCTGTTAGTCTGAAGTCAACAGAACCCTCTTACTTCCTTTTTGTCTGCTGCAATGACTAATATACCGTGAGAGGAAACAGCAGTTAAGCATATTATTTTAGCCCGCCTCTTCAAAGTCCTGTTAAATCATCACTTTAGAGGTATTTAAACCAAACTACTTGTTTTATTCGTATTCTTTTATCTTTTTTCCCATACTTCTCTGCAGAAACTGAGACAGAGCTGGACGTAGAAGTGGCGTTTTCAGAGCAAGCGCTCTCTTACCGGGTTAATCATGAAAATCAGAGGTTGAAGGTCACCAGCAGCCTTAACTCACCTGATGACAAACTACCAGTAAGTCATAAACTTGTACACCATGACTGTAAAGTAAGCAGAGATATACTCATACTCTCAGTGCGTCATTTATACATTGGATTGAGGCATACTCACTTCAAATAGATACCAAGCATAATTTATGACGTCAAATGGCCTTTCAGGATAAATATTATGCTTTCTATTTTCTAAATGCCAAAATCATAACAGAGAAAATTTATGTTTTTTTTTTTTTTTCCAATACAGAAGCTTAGATGCATTCAGTAAAATTCCTTTAAATAATTTGGTGAAGCCCATATGATGCTGTTGTGGCATTTTTAGCTTACGATGGGTTAATTAACATTTGCATAACGGCAACATCATCTTCCTTGTGTGACATCATGGGGGAAAAAAATGAAACTATGTAGGAGTCCTTACAATCCTTACCTTTACAGCTCTGCTGTATCCTTGGATCGAACTTCTTGATCCCAGAAATTCTGTTCTTTTCTAAGCTCAAGTCACATCAGTGACAAATGTCATCTATAAAGTGATTTTTAGTTGTAGTAAATTAAATGATTGCGCAAAAATGCTATTTATATTTTTTTTTTGTTAAAGATATCATTAGGGGCAAAGGAAATAGTTTCTAGAAGATTTTTCATGTTGATTATAAGCAGGAAGTAAAATGGCTGTAGTGACATCTAGTGGTTCATGCTTGTATTGCAGAGAATGGTTTCTTTGATTCAGAAATTGTTTATTTCTGTTCTCTCTTTACCAAATGAACAACTGGTTTAAATGTTTTTTTTTTTTTTTATTATTACGCCCAGTTACTGAAAAAAAATTCTTTTTTTTCCCTCTTTCTTCAGAACTTTAAGCTCCTTCGGGATAAAACGGGTCAGACAAGAGTTGGAGATCTGTCTCCTTTGGATATGAAAAAGGTAAAACCCTGCAGCAAGGATCTGTTGAAAGATAGGTTCAGAACATGTTTTGGATGGAAAACAGGAAAAAAGCTTTGAATCCATGTTTTTGTTTTTCATTTAAAATCCTTTCAGGTACGCAGACTTGTGCTTGTAGAGATGACCGCCCTATTTGACACGGCTGGGATTGACGTCAAGGCCAATAAGCCTGGCAGAGTGAAAAGCAAAGGTAGGGTTTCCCACTACACATGTACAGCAAACCTTTTAGATTTTTTAAGCTGATTAAAAACCATTTGCCAAATCAAAAAAAGAATATATAAAGTCTCAGGATTAACTTTGAGCCTCTCCTTTTTCTGTAAGTCAGAAAGGCTAGGGACCATTTATTTATGTCAGCCTAAGAACAAGTGCACTGTTCCTTCAGTCCAGTGGGGGGGCAGTCAAAAGTATATACCACTGGCTTTACTCCTTTACATGTATTAAAGACTAATCTGTTTTTGTTTCAGCTGATAAGTTAGCATAGATGATGACCAGCTTCAGTTATACTGTTGATTCATTTATGGCACAAACAGAAAATATTTTTGTTCACAAGTTTATTTTTTAGAATAACAAAAAATAAACAGATTGTGAGTCTGCAAATACAGGGAATTGATACCTTACTGTTTAATCATAGGCAAATATTAGATAGAAGATGCATTAACAGTGGAGTCAAAGGAGGAAATGAAAAGTATCATCGTGAGCTGAGAGACTGAATCCAAGCTGAATCCCCGTCTCCTTCCAGTTTTATAATTTAACATCAATATTGTCCATTAACATTTTATTCAAATCTTCTTTATAAAGTATTGTATTACAAGGTATATACTGAATTTGTGGTATAATTAAACAACAGGGCCTACATATAGCTTTAAAAATGCATTAAAAAGTTAATTATGTATTAGAAGTACTATTTAGCCTATTAAAAATTGCATGAGTTACACATTTAAGTATTTATATTATTATTAATAAAATGATTGCACAAACCACTTGAGCCACAAATTAATGCTGATAAAGATTCTCAGTCATCCAGGTCACAGTCATTCCAAAAAAAGTAAAAAAACAAAGTGGAATAAAAGCAGTGGATTGTTTTTTAACTTTTTTTGGAACCTGGGCACTGCTCCTCTGAAAACACAGAGGGCATATTTCAAAGCTCATAATCTTAATGAACTGACTGTAGAGATGCAACTGTGATGTCTACTTTTTTCTTCATCTTAAAAAGGCTTTTAGTGAAAAATGAATGGTATGGAAATGAATGAAAGTTTAAAGGTTCTTCCTCAGTCCAGGCCCTAAAGCCATGGGGACGGTAAATCACCTCAATAAATTTCTATAGGAACCTTTAAAAGCTGTCAACTGGTAATTAAAGATGAGTGCTATTGATATTTGCATTCGTAACGTAAATTACAAGGGTTGTGAATACTTTTCTAAGGCCTTATCCCATGTTTTTATGTTCTTAAAGACATTTTTTATTTTCCTTTTGTGTGTAGAAAGCGGCCTGTTTGCTGTTCCTCTGGCAACTTTAATGGAGCAAGACCAGCGCCGTGTTCCTGGGACCAAAGTGCCACTTATACTGCAGAAGGTGCGCATTCCGACAGTCAGAAAACATTAGTTAGAGACGTTTGAAGGCCACAGTAGGGATGAAGGAAATTATTATTAGCTTTTACAAACTGTAATGTGGTTTTAAACTTTCACTGCTCCCTGCGCTGTGAAGATGCTATAGATCATCAGCTCTAAACATGAGATTGTTAATCTTGAGGTGTTTGTTAAAGCCTTACCTTTTTGTTTTCAATAGCTTATTAGACATGTAGAGGAAGAAGGATTAGATGCCGAAGGTTTGCTGCGGATCCCTGGAGTAGCTACTAGACTCAAGGTATGTTGTTGTATATACACACTATGAATATCTAAAATTATTTACACTAGATGTCACCTTAACTCATGTCGCCTGCTTGCTGCTTTAACTCCACCCAAATTTAGACCCTGCACCAGGAGTTGGAGTTGTCTTTTTATGAGGGGACGTTTCAGTGGAAGCAGGTGAAGCAGCATGACGCTGCAAGCCTCTTAAAGCTGTTCATCAGGGAGCTACCCCATCCCCTGCTCACTGTGGAGTACCTCAATGCTTTTATCGCTGTCAACAGTATGTATCTGATCTATTTCCCTCATGTTTATGATATACTGCGAGGTCCAACCATGCTGTTTTGTTTTGTGTTATGAAAGAGCTCCCCACAAGGAAACAGCAGCTCCAGGCTTTGAACCTGCTGGTGCTTTTGTTGCCTGAGGCCAATCGAGATACATTAAAGGTAGAGTTACGCAAGTATATTTTTATAGCATCATGTGTATATAGGGTTATATAGGATAAGTAAGAAACTGGGATAAAGAGAATTACTTTCAAAACCTGAAGTTTATTTAAACAATAGTATTAATAGCATGCATGCATTACAGTGAAGGGACGGAAACTTGTAATACAGATTTAAAATAAGACAATAGATACTGTATGATGGGAATGAAGAAAAACCACTCTATAGCTCTTTAGAAAAAAGTTTAAAGTTTAAAGAGGAAACTGATGCCTTATCTTTAAAGTATTAAACTTTCTATTGCAGGCACTACTTGAGTTTTTACAACGTGTGATTGACCAGCAGGCCAAAAACAAGATGACTCTCAACAATGTCTCTGTTGTCATGGCACCCAACATCTTCATGTTCAAAGGCTTCCGGTCCAAGGTGACAGAGCAGCAGGAGCTCTCCATGGCAACCAGTACAGCCAACATCATCCGGCTGCTGATCAGATACCAAAACCTCCTTTGGACGGTAACATGTCATAGTAAACTAGAACACAATTAGTAAATCACACACTTTTCTTTTTTAAGTGTGCTGATTGCTCATGAAAAGCTTTTTCTGGAAAATGCTTGTACTTAAAGACAATTTTATCTCTTTATTACCATCTCCTTAAGATCCCAAAGTTCATCTTGACTCAAGTCAGGCATCAAAATATGGAAAACCACCGGAAACTAAACAGGGAGAGAGCTGTAATGAAGCTGCTGAAGAAGATAACCATTGACAGACCAGTTGACAAAACAATCCCAGAGGTGGGAAAGGTTCTTTTTTCTTATTAAGTTGCTTTAAATAATTTATTTTTAGAAAATACCTATTGGTAGCTTTAATGAAAAACACTTGTATAAAAATTATGGCCTTGGGTACCTGTCATTCTTAAATTTTTGTTTAACTGGAAACAGGACAAATTAAACATTTTCAGAAGTAATTTTTAAAATCTTTTTAGAGTTTGGAAGTTAGTGCCAACAGGGACAATATTGGCAACAAAATGAAATTGTTTTTTTATATTTAACGTTAAGAATTATATTAAATTAATAATACTATATTATTAAGAGTTTAATTGGGATCACACACAACACGTGTGGGAATAAGAATCCCAACAGTTCAGTTTAAGAAACAGAATGGAGGCTATATTTGTCTGTTGAAAAACAGTGACATCTAGTGGCGATGATGTAGAATTCCAAGGGCACCTTTGAGTAGTTTACACTTCATAGGCATTTGCAGTGCAGAGTTAAACCCCTCCTTCAAAACTTTTCAGTCAAAAAATGCTAAAATATGATTCACCAATGTGCATTTATCTTTGATGTGATTGGCCTATTGCAAGAGAAGATATTAGATGGCTAATTTTTAGACTTCTTATATAATACCTTAAGGCAGTGGTTCCCAAAGATTTTCTTCTGGGCCCCCCTTTGGATTAAAATAAAATACCCCCCCCCCCCCCCCCCCCCCCCCAAAATCAACTGGGCGCACACATCGTTCAACCAGATATAATAAATCTATACACATATTTTGTTTTCAAACTCCACTGAAGTTTATTTCACACTTCAGGTTGCAACAAAATAAACTACACCATATTTACAGTGGAACACTTTTGTGTAACTGTATTTTTTTAATAGTTCTATACTGTAGATTAGAAGAGGATTCTTTGTTGTCTGTGTTATTTTAAACATATTTCTTTTTTTTTTTTTTTGTAACAATATTTAACTTTGCTATAATCTATACATTAAAAAAGCCTCTGTGCAAAATGGCGTGAAAACATTTAATAGGCCCCTGAGAGTTTTTTCTTTGTACTTTAATCCTCCCATCTTTTCAGTGGCTGTAGTGAGCCTGCTTTTTGCTGTAGATCTTCTCAAATCTGGGTTGCAGTGTCACAACTGTCCATTATGCTCAGTCAAGCAAGCGCTGTTTTTTTTTTTTTTTTTCTTCATTCATCCATACCGCATCCCGCGCCCCACACTTTGGGAACCACTGCCTTAAGGGAAGACCTTAAATAGATTTTGTTGTGATGATTATGAGAGTAAATGTAGCAAAGAGATTGTGAAGGTGAATTAAAGGAAGAATTTGTTTCTAATTTCTCATCTAAGTGTTTAGGATTACAACCTTGTATTTATGTGTGATTTCATCTTTAAGGTTTTGTTTTCTTACTCTGCACATGTCTGTTTATTACCAGGAGAATCCACAGGGATTTATTCGAGTTCAAGCCCCACAGTTCAGTAAAATATCTATGGCAATTCAGCTTACAGATGATTTGCAAGCTGCTGATGTATTAACTCGCTTCCTCAGCCAAGAAAGGTAACTTGTTCAATTATACTTGACCCTCTTTGAGGCAATAAAAAGTTGACTGCAGGCCTCTCTTCCTTTATTTCCAGTTCGTTGTCAGTGAAAAAAGAAGACTTGTGTCTCTATGAGATTGGTGGAAACATCAGTAAGTTTAACTCCCAGCTCTACTTCATTGAGCTGCTTTTTTGTTTGTTTGCTTCTCTTTTATACAACTGTATACAGCTAATGGTAATCCACTTGTATATATTTTTTTCTTTAAGAGGAGAGATGCTTAGATGAGGAGACATACATGCAAGATCTTTTCCAGCTGAACCCAGCAGCAGAGTGGGTCATCAAACCAGTACAGCGATAAATTCTGGTTTGCCTTCTCATCCTGCTGGATCCTGGACTGCTCTGTGTTTTCTGCTCACACAATGAGGCAGCTGGTTCTGTGAAGCTTCTGCAGGATCTGGAGGCATTCGGAAAGCTTCCCCTTCGGAAAGAAGGGGCTTTGGCCTTGGAATCTATGAGAGGAGCGGGCAGTTCGATTGCTCTTCATTATATGGGGGGGAAAACTTGACTGAAAAATCCTTTTCAAAAGTGCTTTGCATTTTAATTATTCCCAGGGAGATTTCTTTAAAATGCCGCCTACATTTTTACCAATGCTGCCTTTCTGAAGCTAGACTGTTTTATTGAGGCTTGAGGTGATAGTCCTGCAAAAATTTGGAGATTAGACAAAGAAATTGTGAAAAGAGGTTAATTTTTTTCACCTTCCTGACACAATAGTTTTTAGAGCCTCGTTAGCTTCAAATGCTGTTTTTAGCACTCTGACACGTCTCCGCATGATGCTGCCACCACCTTGTTTACCAGTAGAGATGAGGTGTCCAGTATAATGTCTAGGTTAATTTTTAATAGACTGCATGTGACCTTATAGCTGCGGGGTTTGCAGCTCCTTCAGAAACACACTAAATCTCTGAATAATGTGCTCATGGCCCAGACTGTCATTAAAAGTAGACAGCTATGTATTTTTAGTTTTGAATTTCTGTCTAATCTCTTTGTTTTGGGAAAACTGGTTTAAACAGTTCTCTGGGACGTTTGATATTTGGGATAATTTTTTCTAACCTGGCTCTACTTTGAGCTCCTCCACAACTTGTCAATTGTGTTTCTTGGGCTCCATGATGCTTTTTAATGCCTGATGTTTTCTCCAAAACCTATTGGGACTAATAGAACAACAGGTTTAAATAGGTTTACATAAAGGTATCAAAGTAAGGGGCCCTGATTACCAATTAGCTTAATTTTATTTTATTTTCAAAACATGTAGCTGTTTCCTTCCACTTCAGAACCTATTTTTTTAGACATTTTTTTTTTAGTTGGTCTGTCACCTAAAATTCTGGTGGCACAATAAAGTTTCCTTGTAATGTGATTTAAAAAGTGAAGAACTGCACAGGGAGTATATATTTTTGCAGGGACATTTAGAGAAAACCACTTTTTAGAGATTTTTTTCCACTGGTGGAAAATTTCCTCCTTTTTCCATAATGTGATTCATTGCTACTATTTAATGTATTTGCAGTAATTAGATAATATGGTGTTGTGCAATAATTTAAGGCAATTAGTAGACAATTGTTGTTTTTTTCACCATTCATCTTTTGTTAATTTGAGAATAATTTATGTATTTTTATTTTTTAACCTTTTTTTTAGGTAATTTTATTACCACTTTGTTGGATTTTGTTGTATTAGATAAGTTTCCCAGAAAGATTTCGAAAAGGGAATAAGGTGTTGTTTCAGTCTAGCTTTGTCCAGGTGATTAAACTCCTCTATTAGTTATATTTTCTAAGTATTAAAAAAAAATAGATCAAATTAATAAAAATCTTATAGTCTCTGATTTGCAAGGACCTGCAGCGAAGTCATAAATGAGAAAGTTTACGTTTGAGTAAAACCTTTTAATCCGTGGTTGTTTGAGTATCTTAACATGTGAATGCAGTGCAATCAACACAGCTGCCTTAATATTAAAGAGACTGCATTTTTGCTTATGCAAGTGTGTTTATGCAGTGAAATGTTTTTACATAATGATTTTGGGGCTTTTTTTGCCTCTCCAGGCACTGTTGCATACTGGCAAACGTGTTATTTCTGAAAAGAAGATACGTGTTTGATCTTTTTTTGCACACACTGTGCCTTTAATTACAAGTTATCTAATTGTTTCTATATCTGCACTGCAATGTCTAACTTGTGGAGAGTTGACAAGAATATGATGAACTGTTATGATTTGTTTTAAAATATACACCGTCACTTTCTGTAATATATGATGTTGGCTGATTTGTTTTCTAAATGATGTCTTTGTCTTAACTGCCTTTTAAATCACCACCATGACTGCCTGTAAATAAACTTCAAATGATTCGTTAGCACATCTGCTGCTGTAACTACTGAATTTGCACATTATTTCACATGATCTCAACCATTTATGTCTGATTATGGCAGCTTTAGAAGTACTATTTCAGACATTTTAAGGAAACATGTAACAAGCTGCCAGAAATGTTTTAAGGGCTATTCCATATGAATAAAACAAAAAATATAGTAAATACAATATCAAAATCTACATAATGTAGGGTTTGATATGTTGCTATATATCTAAATGTTTGCATTAAGATAATCCAGGATAATATATATATATATATATATATATATATATATATATATATATATATATATATATATATATATATATAAATAATGATAAAAAAAATAAATATAATAATAAAATACAATACAGTTACCCATTCTACAAAATGTTTAATGTGAAAGATATATGAAATGGAGACCTCCCCTTAAATAAACACATCTAAATGAAAACTGCACCACTATATACTTTATATCTCCATTTATCTGTATTTTAATGTAAACAAAATGTTTCACAAATGTCTGATGTACAACATTTCATAAATTCACAGCATATCTTGGCTAAATGGGTTGTATAATCTTTGTAGACGTTAGTGATTGTTCATTTGCTGATGAAACTGAAGCGCCAGAGTGGCCCAAAAATAACCATCCCCAACTTTCTGTTATCTCTCTCATGTTTCGGTGTCGTGGACCAACTCGTCACCTGGAAATATAATTGTGTATCCTTCTGATTCGCTAACCGGTTTTTGGCCCGTTCTGATTGGCTGCTGTCATTTAGAGCGTGTGCTGATTGGTGGAATTTCTAGAGTAGGAAGTGATGATCTTTAGTAAGAGCTTAATACGGTTAGCTAGGTGAGATAGTCTTTGACTTTAATGTATTTATTTAAGTGTCAAACCTTGCACTTTAACTCTACTACTCTCAGTTCTTTGATTATACTTGTAATCTTGAATTTATAAAAAGGAAACGTCCTCTTAGGTTGACATTTCGTCATTTTTCTCTGCGACTGTGTTGAATTAGCTTGTTAGCTTTGTGTCGTTTCAGTTGAAATACTCTGCTCGCTAGTTTTCTCGCATGGGGTATATCTTTTCTTGTTTGACAGCTGGGCGAGCTAAAATTAACCACCTTTATATGTAGTGCATTGGGTTCTGTTCGGTCAGTCTCGTGTGGGACAGTTTATTTTTTGCTACTTTTTGCAGCGTGAACGAATGTTTGGTAATAGAAATAGCAGCGGTTGCAGCTAGCAGATGGTTAGCTCCTTAACAACAACAATGAGTTGTAAGGGGGGTCCAAGGACGGCTAAAATGCTTTATTTTGTTGCCATTCTCCTTCTAATCTCCATCAATGGGTTGACAGCAGGTAAGTTACAAATTAAATTGCTTCTATTCGTAGAAATAATGCAGCCAACTACAGTGTGTTTGATAACCAATCGCAAGCAGCTGCTGTTTTGATATAAGGAGAAGCATTGTAAGTATTTTTTTTGCTGTACTTTTAATGTTTCAGACGAAGATCAACACAGGGACGATGGCTCTGAGTTAAAGGTGCGTTTTGAGTTTTTTGTTAAAAATAGAATAAACCATATTGGAAGACCAGCATTTCATACTAAAGTGTCTGTTTACAATGTAATGTGCTCCAGGGGATTTTTAGCTAAGCTTGTTTTGTTTTCATTTTCGGCTGTGATTATAGAGCTAAAAAAAATAACTACTTGAAACTGATTGTAGTTTAAACAAGATGATATAGCATCATCCATAAAGTTACGGAAATCATTTATATGGAATAATGGAGATGGGTATTGCAATAATATTATAAGTTTGACTGTTATCCTGCAGTCCTAACTCAACTATCATCAAATTTTGTTTTATTCTGCTTTACAAAAAGGATGCTTAGTCATGAAAATGAGATAAGTGTATTGAACAGATCTCCAACTCTTTATGATTTGGGTGATCTTTTATTTTTCTCTCTTGTTATTTGTAGTCATATCATGATCCAGACTCTGAGGAGGAAGATGTTCATATTGTATCAAGAATTTTGGCAGCCGCCTCTGGGACTCGCCGTCTAGATGGCACCCAATCGAAGGAGGAAAAACAATCTCTTGGAGAGACAGAGGAAAAGGAAGAACTACCTGAACAGCCTCCTCCTCCTGAGGAAAAACCCAGAGAAGGTGAATGAGATTTACTTTAGTTTTCTAAATTAACGAAAAAAAATTTTTTTTTTTAATAATGTATAGGATATAAATTGATTTATGTGTATATATTTACTATTTAAGGCATTAATCTCTTTGTTAAAATTGAGAGTTTATATCCGTGTTGTCACTACATCAGAGTTGTTGATCAGAGTATTTATTTATAATAAGTTAACCTGCAGAAAACCACAAGTACTTTTTAGAAGTGCTACTGTGCCATTTGGGTGGTAACTGAATATAAATTAGGGACTCCTAAATGATAAAACATTGAAAATAACTTTCACTTATGTTGTAAGCTTTGGTAATTCCCAGCATGTTGGCCTGCTTTCTCTCTGGCTTACACTAAGCAAAGCAGCATGTGGGTTTATGCAGTACTGCTATGGGTAAACGGTTTAACCTCATGAGATATTAACAGCTTGCTGCAGCTGTGGCTTCTGCTGCTTACACCATTTTACTCTGGGACTGCTTGCACTGTTCCTATACAGTCGTTGTTTTTATAACATGTTGAAGATGTATTAATAATACCTCTCTTTCCAAACTTTAGTCCAAGTTTTGTTTTGTCCATTTTTAAAGGGAAAATATGATAACTGAAACTTATTTTTTCTCTTTATTTTTTTTATATTTCAGTTCCTCTTGTAAATGGCGGCACATCCCATGGGGAGCCCTGCATCTTTCCATTTTTCTTCCAGGGAAAAGAGTACTCCGACTGCACCACTGAAGGGCGGGGAGATGGACGGCTATGGTGTGCAACATCCTATGACTATGACCATGACAAGAAATGGGGATTCTGTGAGAGTAAGTTTTCAGCTGAGGTAGAGCTGTCCCTCCAACTTAAGATAAGAAGTTTAGAAGTTGTAGGGATGGGAAACCATAAACATATCGTAGTTTTCTTTCAGTTTATTATGGCTTCCTTCTATCAGTAAAAGATTTCCATTCCTTTTAAACTTCTTTCTCTCAGCGGAGGAGCAGGCGCAGCAGAGACTGCAAGCTGAAGAGACAGAGGAGCAGTATCAGACAGTTTTACGCACGCTTAATGGCTCCACCAGGAAAACTCAGAAAAAAGAGTAAGTTTATTGCTTTCATTCTGATGATACAACTTTAGATCTCCAGACCTAATATTAATATTACCCTCATGAGAATTTAGTAATTTCTTTTCTTTTTTTTTTTTTTTTTAAATCTTAAGTCCAGTGTTTATTCATTTGATATATCCGTGCAAGTGTTGGGTTCACGTTTCCTGCAGTGGGTTAGACTGTTATAGGTTAATGTTGGAGAGATTCCCAGTTTCATGTCGGCCTTATTTATCAGTTTATTTAAAACTAGGTCTGACATGTGTTTGGGATCTTTGTCCTGAAAGTCATAGCTGGGTCTAGACTGTTTGGCTGCCAGTAGTATCAGGACTAGTGGTAGTCAGGGCTGAAAGCCTCATTTTAACTCTTCCAGTCACCCTGGCCAAGTAAGTCAGTGTTGGTCTCATCAAATCATAAAACCTTTCTCCAGAATTTTCACTGGTCTTCCTGTTTAAAATCACCATCAACTTTGGCTCTTGGCTAAATCTTGACCACAACCTTTTCTAGCAGCATAGACATTAAAATGCCTCCCCTCTGTTTTGTTCTAATTACTAGCCAGAGCTAATGAAACTTTGCACATCCTTGATTGAATTGGATGCAATTCTTTCTCAGGTTGTATGAAAAGCTGTTGAAGGTAGCAGAAAAAGGTCACCAGAAGGCCACAGAGAAGGTGGCGTATGCCATGCTGTTTGGAGACTACATGAACCAAAATATCACCAAAGCCAGAGAGATGTTTGAGAAGCTTGCGGTGGAAGGCTCACCTAAAGCTCAGATGGTAAAAATGTCTCACAGCTTAAATGCAGATCGGTTTAAATGACTCTTAAGTTTTGTGTAAAGCTTTAATATTAACTATATTTGTATTGTTTCTACTTAGGCTCTTGGCTTCCTGTATGCAGCAGGACTAGGAGTTAATTCAAGTCAAGCCAAGGTATTTGTTTCTTTCTGACATTCAGGCTCATCCCTCACATTAAATCCAGTCATAAGTAAATTCTCACACATTATGCTGATGTTTTCCAGGCATTGGTTTACTATACCTTTGGTGCATTGGGTGGAAACTTAATAGCTCACATGATTCTGGTGAGTTGAGTTGTTCATCTAATTGCTTATCGGATAGACATGTTATTTTCTTTCATAATAAATTAAAAATGTTCCTGCATTATGATTAGGGGTACAGGTATTGGGCAGGTGTGGGAGTTCCCCAGAGCTG